GGAGAGACCCACTGTCACTACGCTGAAGAAATATGAGCACACTCCTGAAATAACACGCACCAAGGAAGATCAAAGGAAACGATCAGAAAATACTGCAAATAAGATCTTTTAGGCCCATAATTGTACATTACTTACATAAATGTCGTTCTGAAAAGAATTTCTCTGATTTTTTCTTGCCCACGCCCACCCAGGTACAGTATTTGCACAGGAAATCCCTAAGTTTGAGTTTCAGTGTTTCCTTTTCGTTTTTTTTGGGAAGTAGTGGATTCACTATTCGAGTGTTATACGATAGAATATTTTTTCTCCTGTATTAATATTAATTTTGCGTTAGTAACTTCTAGGGGTTCCCGTTCAATCACTAAATCGCTACTATATTTTCCACTATATTTTTTGAGGTTTTCAGATTTCATCGTATGTAGAAGTGGCAGTGATTTCGGAACTCGAAGACGATCGTTCAAAATCGGTCGTATTGGTCGCAAGCAGTGCGTCTCTGTCAGCTTTGAAAAACGCATGTTTCTTTTTACTTGTACTGAAAAAAAAAAATTACTTGTACCAATCAAAAAAGTAGCAAGGAATCGCTCGCAGTAGAAGCATTCGGCCAGGTCGTCGAGCGACCTCGCCGTGGCTTTACGAAATCGGAAAACCTTATGGTCAATGTTTGATACCAAAACGATCATCTGCAGCATTGCAGAGATTCAATTCATGTAGACAGGTTGCGAAATTAGTATATTATCTCACTCTAATCAGTGGCATGGTGCGGCGGCAGTGTGCTGTGATGTGGGGCGCGACTACCAGGAGCGACAATAGCTTCTGCATCAGACTGCTGCTCAGCATGGAGCTCCAGGCTCGCGACCTGTTGGCCAATGCTGGGATCTCGTCGTGGTCGGCACAGCGAATCAACCTCAGCGTGCATCTGGCTCTAGTTGCGTGGCCAAGCAGGAGAGGGATATGGCGTTTCGTGCTGGTGCTGTCTGCTGCTACAGTAGAGCCTCAGTTTTGGATTTGGTAGCGAAGCTCCCTGGTGTAGGTCGCGTCCGGGTGACTTCGGCGGGATAGTGATAAATATTTATCATTCATCTCACCGTTGTGCCCACGTGGGGAGCGGGTAACGCTAAACGACCTACAACTACGCAACGCATTGCGGGATCGGGTTATACCCGTTCACGCTCTCGAAAGAAGCGCTGACGAGATCGAGTCCCAGGCGTTCATGGAGATGGATCAATGATGCTGAGAAAGCTGAGGAATTCTACAAATGATCATTGACTCGTGGTTTTCTGGATGACGGAACTCATCTTCATGCAACTGGATAATATTCTTACTCTTTCGTTGTGGTCGTTCTCGTCCTCCTATTCATATATAGACTTTTTAGACACTAGAGCTGCTTTGTAGACAGACGGGCTTTTGTTGATCTATTCTTCTTCTTGTTGCTGCGTCAGCATTTAGATTTCGAAATCATTAAACCACTACCAAAATGGTTCCTGTGTAATTGTTGTAAGTGAGTGGAGTCCTTAATCCACCTGAAATGCAAAGATAAACTAAACCACGACTCATTTTACATCCACTTCGGCAATTCGATAGGATTAGCTCTAGAATTCCTGCTACATCGGGAACGAGATGGAAGCTCTGCATTTATTCAGAGTTGAAAAATCACACACAGGCCGAACCTACATTCATGTCGATCGCAGCTGAGTAAGCTTTTGCATCATTCAGGCTTCGCTTGCACTTTTTTGTCACCTAAATATCACAGCCACACTCTACGCGGAAGACCAGGCAGTGACGGATCGTGGATAGGATCGCTTTATTTATCAGATACATAGGAGCCTGCGCTATTTCAGAAAGTTGGAGACTGCTCATACTCTATTGATTCGTTGACAATGTAAAAATAGCGACTGCCTGCTCCTACTTCAGAAGTGACTGCGCAGCTGTAGTAGATAGTGTCTTGCTGGTCGTCTTATTTTTCTCATGTGTTTCTACTTGATTTCGATAGTGTCTAACTCTTGACATTGTGCTTGTAGCTGCATCCAGTACGCAGCTGTTTTCTCAATCTTATCTGATAATTACTGTTAGTTCTACTCTTGTCTGTTCATCATCATCATGGTCGTCCATCTAGATGAGGCTAGTTCTTAGTTCCTAATATGCAGCTTATTCAGTGGAACGTGTCAACTTTGACAAAGACATGGACACGCGATGCCATCTAGTGGGTATATCTGGTTCTGGAACATTTACAATAGCCATCTAGTTCTAGAACGCGAGAAGACGCTAAGACAAGCTAGCGGCTTGCAGGGCGGTGGCAGTAGTTAGGTTTGAGCGAAAAGATAAAAGAACACTCGACATTGATGTCTGACCGTCTCCAGGAGAGTGCGTTTGGCGTCTTTCTGTGAGTGTGATCTGTCCACTTATCTATGCGAGATGAACTTGACATGCTGGAGGATTTCCAACGAGAGACAAGAACAGGAGCAGGAGCTGTAGTAGAGTACGAAAATAAACAAGCCAAAGAGGGCCGCTACTGTCATTCAAAGTAGAATCTTGAGACGCAGACTGGGTCGTAGGAGTGAGAAACTACTTCGCTATGTTGTGCAGGCGGAGAGTATGCCTATGAGTAGATGACGCAACGAAGATCGATGAAGACGACCATCTAGAGGGACTGGCACTGACATTGCTTCACTGAGAGACGACGGCATCATCAAGATCAAAGTGGAGACGGAAACTGATCAGCTTGAGAAAACCGCTGCGGAGAGCACAAAAATCAAAGGGAGTCGAGACGCCTTGACCCATCGCGGAACCTAGACTATTTCTTTTAGATTCAGTGAGTATAACTATAATTAGCTGCTAGACCACCGTCGAGCATCGCGATCGCGTGCCCGTGCGAACTCTCGTCTTGATCTTTCTTTCACTGGAGTCTACTACTGTTTACACCTAAAGGATGAAGAAAGCTCCTCAGGGGATGAAGCTGAAGGCGACTCCACCTCCTCGCGGGATGGAGATGGACATGGACGACGAGATAGACCAGTTTTTCGCAGGACTCGATAAGGAGAACTATCAGTCGATCAACATCGAAAAGCAAAAGCCTGCGGCTAAGATGAAGAGCAAAAAGAAGGTTGTGACTCATCATCGTGCCCAAGACTTAGACGCATTCGCAGCAGAAACCATCATCCAAATCAACAACCAAAACCGCGTTGCTTTGGTCAATCAAAGCTCCACCATCAGCACTAGCACCGAAGGCAAAGCTACAACCACGACCACCACTGCCTCGTCCAAAACCGAGTCCACCACCAAGATCAACAAGAACAAATACAATTCTGCTAACAACAAGGACAGTCGCAAAGTGTGCAATTTGGAGATGACTCCAAAGCCGCCTGGCAAGAACAACAAGAACAAGATCAAGGACACCAAGATGGGGATGAAGCTGTATCAGACGCGCAATTACACCAAGCAAGAAGAGCGTAAGAAGGAGAAACACGAGAAGATGATGGCTGACCAGGAGTTTCTGCGCGAGAAGGGTTTAGATTATGGAAACGGAATAGAGTAGCTCTAGCTCCTTGTTGAGGTTATTTCGTTACTTAAGAGACTCATTTAGTGCAGACGTAATAGAGCTTTACCCTTTTGGTAACTTCTTTTCTTCCTCTGTTTTTGCGTTTGCGGGTAGCTTCGTGGTATTCTGACACCTCAGAACTCTCTTACGACGTTCTACTCCTCGTCTCCTAGCTAGGACCCCTAGTACTCTCCATCATCATCGTGTAGCTGTAGGGTATAGGTTGATCTTCCGGCTTTGTCATGTATTTGTCGTCATTTCTCCAAGGCAACCTAATAGAAATAGAAAAGCATCGTCGTGGTCGAGCGCTGTAATCCTTCGCAACGTGATCAACAAGAATACGAAAGTAAGCTTGGATGCAGATGCTACTTCTTTTTCATAGTCTAAGTCGATTCCAGAGTAGGGCCTTCTGCTGCAGATTCGCCTTCATAGAAGATAGAACTCGATTAGAAAGAGTTGGGGCAGTTTATGCTGAAGAGTCAGATTTCTGCATCTAGACTTTCCTCTAAACAAGCGGCCGCGGAAAAGCAGTGAAAGAGCGCACTATCATGATGAAACTCACTCAGACAGAAGCGGCTGCCGTGCATCAGCTGCGTGAGTACAAGCAGATGGGATACGAAGTCCTCGGCGTCACGCACACGGAGCCGGTGAAAAAAAAAGGTCCAAAGGCCTCCGACGAGTTCCCACCTCGATCCGAGATCCCGGTAGTACTTGTTCTTTCATTTAATGAAAGTATAGGAGTCATTCCCGTTTCATTTTTTGTTCTGTTAGAGACTGGGGTGTAGATGCAGTATCTCGAATGTTCAGTCTGTATGGTGTAATAGATCAAAGATGAAAACTGTCTGCAGGAGGGTCACATTCGAAAATCTCCCGCTCATCAGAGATGAAGGAGGATGAGCGCACGCATGAAGGCTTGCAAGGTCGGGCGCTTCTTCAGACAGCGCCACGGTCGTCTTTCTCACCTCCACGCGCCCACTGCCAGCCGGGGTCGCTTCTTCCCAGTAGGGGGGAATGCTTACATAGACCAGTGGGCGCCGCATGCCCGGCGTGGGCGGGATCGAAAGTGTGCCTGCTGTCACTGCGAGAAACACAACAGGGACCTGCTTCTGTCGCAGCTGTCTGCGCTACCCCGGAGAGCCTCAAACGGAAGGCGGCGCAGAATGCTTAACGCAACTCATTGAGTTGGACAGAAAACACCGACCACAGGCGACACCAACCCGGCAGCTGGTCAAACACTCTAGCCCGCAACCACTAATCGACCAGGCTGGAGGTGGCCAATCATGCAGCCAACAATGTCGCCAGGAAGAGGAAGGCAGCCCGCCGGGTGTGTAGCCCAATGACCCAGACAGACTACGGGGTGAACAACCAAACAGACAACCAAGCGAGCAACCACGCTACCAGAGAAGGGGCCAACCATACACAGACTGACTCTTCTTACTGCTTAGCGTTAGCCATAAGCGAACAACATCGATGGCGAGGAGATTCGTAGCACGTGCTAGTGCTTTATGCTCGACTGACGCACTTCTATCTCGTTGTTGTTATTCTCTATTCACCGAGTGTTATGCATCGCCTAGGGCAGATAGTTTTCATGTCAGCGATATAAGTATGGTTCACGAATGGAAAGATGTTTTCTATTGCTGCGCATCACCTTCACAAATTTAGTGAGGTTAGCTGTGGATAAGTTTCCATCAGCACTTTATTTCTTGTAATCCAATCTTTCACTGACTCAGTTGAACAAGCGGACAGACCTGGTCGAGCAGCAGCTGATGCTCGTCGAGCTCATGGACAAGGAGAAAGCCAAAGATGCACAGCGCCAGGCCGCTGGACTCGAACGCAAGCCAAAAAAACGAGCACCCGTGCCCTTGGACGCGTTCATGTCCGAGTCACCGGAAAAAAAGCGCCGCAACTCATTATGGAGGCTCTTCAGCTGCACAACCAGAAACAGTGAAGCTGCTGTTATATCTAAAGTTTTTTACTATCTACCGTGTTGTCAAGAAGTGGGGTCAGCCGTGCTCTCTTCTTCAATTATAACTATTTATATAACATGACGTTGATCATGAAAGCATAACGCAAAAGAGCTCGACGCCACGTCGACAGGACTAGTAAGGCGTGGCGCGTTCTGCTCAGTATCAGCTTCTGGATCGAACTAAGCTTTGTATAGACCATCCCTTCTGCCTCTCTCATCGTCGATCGTCACGAAGAAAAAGCCACCCCGCTGGGAGATGTATCAGGGACCTGACAGCATCGGCATGCGCCTCATCGAGTCGACGACGGATTCCGATGACGACTACATCGTGCCACGGGGCAACAACGACAGCAATAAGACCAATATCCACCAGAACAACAACAACAACAACAACAACAAGAACAACCCAGCTGGTGGTCTGGGTGCAAGCTCAAGCAGCTCCTCCTCCAGCAACGTCAATCGCGGCGCTGGATATGGACTCTCTTAGACGATTACAAACGTACCAACTACATACTGATATGGATAATGCTCGGTCGTTTCTTTATGTTGTGCGAGCTTTCTCTCTCTCGTATTTTGGTTGTGTTGATTTTCTTCTCCTTGGTCGCCGTTTCGTTGTTAGGATTGAGTCCTTCATCCTCTATGACAGTAATCCTTGTCGCAGCGAGCTGTCGCTTAGCTTAATTGGATCTGTTTAGCTTCGTTTCTTCGACAGTAGAGGCGTTGTTGCATTAGTTCTTTCTTATTTCTCATATCATAGTCTTTGCCAGTCATCATGAGCATGCATTATGGACAGGCTAGTGATACTGATAGCAGTCGTGATCACATCCGTGATCGCTACTACTACTTCTTGACGTGATTCATCCCGAATGAGCTGCCAGGTCTACAGTCGAGCAATTGGCTTCGTCGTCGTATCTTGGTAGTACTAGTATTCAAGCTTTCAAAGATCGTTGTGATGGAGCCGGTTGATCTAGCGAAAGCGGCATTTGGATCGACGTGCGTCCATGATTATGGTGGGTATTCTGATAGGGTAGAGATTACTATCCTGTAAGAAAAAGAAAGTAAAAATGTGACGCGTGTGGGTGTCGATCTTCTTGTGTCTCGTAATCATGTTACAGAGAACTCTGCGAGACATCAGGGAAGATGAGTATTAGGATTTAGGATCTTCGCAGCAACGGCGTGTTGAGTAGTTAGCTTTATAGATGCAAAACTAGTTGCAACATAGTTGAGCTTGAGATGTGAGTGTGACAGCCACAGCTTTGCGTTGGACAGGTTTTGTGCTTCTATTTTTGACGTGATGCACGGTGGGGCACAGCCTAGGAGAATGGAACAAACTACGGCTATCAGTAGGAGTAGGCGTAGGGCTTTCTTTATCTTCTTCTCCTTCGTGCATTCATATATAGTTGCTTGCTCATCTTCGTGCCTGTATGTATAATCGACTCCTTAGACATAGAACTAGAAGCACGTCTAACATGCACTCTGCAGGAGCTAGGGAGGCAGTTCGGTTTTTCTTGCTTCTGGGATTCGGCTTTGGCTTGTTTACTTCTAGGTGGTGGAAGTGGAGCTGGATGTTTTGTTCTTGGTGATGATGTTTAGTTTCTCAGATTTCTTGTTCTTGAATTTGATTACGATTTCCATTGATTTTCGAAGCATTGAAAACGGCGTATAATTCAGCTGTCTTGTTAGGAATGACATGGATTACGATTTGAACTGTTCTTGAAGCCGAAATGTCAGGCGATCTTCATCGTATTAGATCTATTACCATTTATATTTTTATGCAAATACCTAACTCAGCTCTCTTGTAGTAAGTGTGAAGCGTTATCTTATCGACCCACACATGCACGTAATGGGTATAATCTAAATCGTAATCGCGTTTCTTATCCTTTTTTCGATTTGTATCTGTTTTCTGTTCGATGGCCAAATTTGTCTAAACCTAAGAATAAGAATTATAATCCCTCAGGAATCACAGCACGATAATGCAGTTTTTGGTTACTTATCACAGAGCACTTACGAACGGACGCAGGCGCAAATAGTACTAGGTTCCTATTAGTTTCGACGGCACGATCTCAATGACCACGACGACGACCTTAGTTTCAATTCCTATCCTTAGAACTAGAAGCTCTAGCTAGAAGAGTTAGAATATGATAACGATTCGTCAGGCTATATGAAGGCGAAGCATAACAAACCCAAACAGCATGGTTAGAAATATGGAGTGGGTAACTCATACTCACTGGGCATTCTTATCTTAGCAGTCCAACAGGATAAATATCCTACTGGTGCTTAATCTCATACTTCTAGTTGTAGTAATGATTTTCGAAAATTGACTACGAGACGTGACTGGCTTGGAGATGATCAATTTATGTAAGATATGCGGCAGCTACATTTGATTTTGAAGAAGTTCTTCGCTGCACCAGATGCCGCTAGTTACGTAGCGTCTACTTCTACTCCGAGTCCAATGTTGTCCATAGCTGCTCATATCTGAGAAGTACGACGATGTGATAGAGCAAGGTCTAGATGAAGATGCAGAAATAGTGATAGTTCGGCATTATAGTCATAGTCATACAGTGCACAGAGACAGAGGGCCCTGCTTCATAACAGCTCGGCCGTAAATCAGCGTTGATGTGTGGTCGTGGACTTAACGCGAGAGCTAACGTAGTAGCATTAGACCACGCTGGAAACTAGATCTCCAGATACGTAGACGCGTGCGCTTGTGCACCATACTCAAAATGCGCATAGGTGATCAAGATTTTAGACTGGCTTTTCCAATGTTGCATGGCTGATTAGAGATGGTTCGTCCTCTTCCTTAATGAGGACCAAGATGTAGATGCACATTGCACACGAATAAGCGCGGAGATCTTTGCTTCGCTTTTTATGATCCAGTCCGAGCTTGTCGCGTTCCATCTTTCGAAAAGAAAAGTATCAAACCCAAGTCGCGCCATTCTCGGGGACGACGGAGCAACAGCGCGATCGCATTAGAGAAGTGGAGTTTTCTGTATCTTGGTCTTTCCTCGAGCAGTGAAAGCGTAAGACACTTAGATTTAGATAGAATAGAAATAGACCTCATCTTCTTCCATAACTGACCGAGACAGAAACGGGTCAGGGGCCAGTCCGCTGACGTTGAAGAAGAATCCGATGATACAGGTGAGTGACACAGAGAGGCAGGCGCAGGAGAGAGTGTTCAAGCGAGAGTAACCTGTAATGAGAACCTTCCGGCTTCTTCCTGGATCGGATGGATTTTGTAACTCTCCGAGAAGATGGAGCCACTTCTTGCAAGATCAACCTTCTCATCTCGTTTGTGGATGCAGTAGCTGCAACTCCACAGGCTTCTTATCAATTTACTTGCTGCTTCGTATGGATACGCATACGTTGCGTGCGATGCTTCGTAGCATTCTTACCAGCTTGACTCTTGAGGAGCTTGATCATTTATTTGATGAATTTTTGTCATGATGAGCACTTCAACTTATTTAGAACTCCACGTGATGACTTCCGAGTAGTGTGACTTTTGTATTTGTTGTTCTCATTCAGATATGTATGATTGATGTTATGATAGTGCTGCGATAAAAAACGCTTCTTCTTCTTGTAAGTAGATTGATATTGATTCTTCTGACTCTGAATCCAAGTGAAAATATGGAGCAACCCTTCTGGTTTTTGCTTGTCGCAGATATCGCGCGACCCGGTTAGTCGTCGCTGGGTGGGGACAGGGTCCATCGTCGTAATTTTTTGGGACTAGAGCTCGGGGAAACGCATCTACGATTACATCACAGCCTTGATCCAGAATAGTGCGGACTTTTTGCTTTTCGGAAATCTTGTTTTGATGCATCTATTAACCTGTGCCTCGTAGAGGTGGGCGGCTTCGTCTTCTGCTTCTCTTCATGCTTCGGATACGATGGGTCTTCTTCTGAGTTCCCGCTTGTACTGCTGGTTTTGTTCTTGAGCTTGACAGCGGGCGCAGCTGCAGTTGCAGACGCTATCAGTCGCATCTGGTGCAAGTGTAAGATGTTCGTATGCGTATCCGCAAACCCAACAGCCAGAACTACTTTGATTATCGATTCTTGCCGGTAGGTGCTTGTTTAGTACTGGGACCACGGCCACCTCGAGCAAGGGCAGTTCGAGTCTGATTCTGCAGAAGGCAGAGTAGTGTAGTAGTAGTTGTAGTAGTCAGGAGACGTAGAGGATGGACGATCTCGACCCACATAGTTTTGCTTTGCCGGCGAGCAACGCAAGTGCCCCTGTCTTCCGCGTTCGGGGTGGGCGGCCGAAGAAGCAGGCTAAAAAAGCTTCTCAGTTGTCTAGCTCGACGAATTTGCTTGCAGGGACGGACGCGTCTGGTGTGCGGATTCAGGACCTTCGACGGCTTCATCATTTGGCGGGACAAGACGGGGAAGGGCCGTCTGCTTCTTCCTCTTCATCAATAGTAACAAGTGGGAGGATCTACAACTCGCTAACGCAGACGGACCTTCAGATACCATCGAGTGTTGTGGACCGAGTTGATGGATTTAATGACAACCTTGCAAAATATTTCAACTACCAGTACGGAACTTTGAAGAAATCGGATATCCTGCAGGTGCATGACGTTCTGGAGTTAGCGGCGCGCTACCTAGTACACAGTCAAGATGGTGACGTGATCACGCTCTGTGAGTCAGACTTTTCGGATGGAAGAATTTTAGAGTCAAAGGAACTGGCGAAAGAACATCAGAAAATAGAAACAGCTGAAGGAAAGAAGAAGATGCTGCGTCGACTAGGCGTGCATGCGAAGTGGCTTGTTCCGTGCGTCAGCATGCTGCGTCTGCCGGAGTATGAGGAAAACAAGCCTGACGACAAAGAGAGCCGCTCTTCTAAAGCTACCCGTGGTAGTCTTAGTCGTAGTAGAAGGAACAAAAATAAGCCAGTCGCAGTGTCGTCTGCATCTGCCTCTGCGTCTACAAGTCTAGTAGCAACAACTACAAGTACAAGGCAAAGGGTACAGGTACAGCAACAGCAAACCATTGGCGTTGCAGCTTCTTCGGCGTTTGGTCAAGCGACATCTGCAAAACGCCGCATGAAAGCCACGAAGCACACTGGCGAAGCGATGGAGGACAGACAGTTCTTTCTGAAAGGTCGCAAGCTTGAGCGTCTTCGTGAGGCGTACGCGCACACAGCTACTGCAACTTCGCCTGTGATCGATGACGCAGGAGCAGCTATGTTCTCAGCAGTTGACGCGGTAGCATTTGGGGCAGGAGCGTTTTCTTCTACTGAGCGCACGCATGGAGCGTCCAGCTCACGCGCATTGGCTTCTGGTGAACTTGATGCTTCACGGCTAGTTGGTCTTGGGCAGGAGGTTGTGGATCTGGATGCCGATCCAGATTCAAATCATTTGGAAATAGTGCGTACACTTGAAGCAAAGAGAAAACGCAATCGCCTTCAAGAACTCCGATTAGCAACTACTTCAACATCTTCAGACATGTTCGACATAGTCAAATCAAAGTCGGCAGCCATTGTCGAGAAAAAGCAGCTACTAGAAAGCAGTCTCATGATGGAAATGGATGATGAAGGCGCGGAAGTGTTTAACAAGCGGGTTCATTCGCTGAAGATGTTGCAGATGAGAGGGAAAAAGGTAGCAAGCATTTTAACAAAAGAGGGACTTGGGGATAAGAATTGGATATGCTTACCTGGTGTGGTTTCAGCGTGGCCGACACGACATGTCTACGACAAACAGATGTACACCGAGACATTTGCAACCGCCTATGCGCTCTGGGCAACGGTTCTAGAAGGTTACTTCTCACCTTCTCCATTGCTAACGAAACAGCATCTACCTCATTTGCGAGACAACTTGGCTGATGATGGCATAAAGATGATAGCGACTTCTACTGATAGTGGTGGCAGTGCACCTTTGACACAATACTTCATCGAAGACTTCGCAGCGTCAGAGCCTGTTCTGCAGTCCGTGTTAAATTTTGACGCTGTTGCTGATGAGATGCATGCACTCAATATCCTGGCAGCCGACCAAGCACCCGCTCTTGCAAATCAATCCAAACATCAAGATCTGAGTGAGGGCGAGGAGTTCAATCTCGGACGGCATCACTCCTTCCGCGTATCAGGTAAATTACAGTGGAGCAACACCTGTGACGTCCACTTCGTGAACACGTCTGGAAAAAATTCTTATCATGCGGGGTTTGCCTTCTGGGGCTTGTCCGGCTGGGATGCGAGCTACCATCTGAACCGACTAAGGAAGGAGTGTCAGGCGTGTTCCCGAAACCGCGTCTCCATCGCCTTAGAGCTCGTGCGAAGGGGTCTAGATTCTGTAGCCACTGTCGACGCTTTGGATTACGCATGTTTGAAGACGTTGAGCGACCTCGAAATGGATTCTGAAGGACTGGCCACGGAGTTTGCAATTGCCGCGAGTTTGATGCATAGAGAAGGAATTGCGACGCCTTTTTGTTGCGATGATGCTTACACAGCAATGACCGTGCCTTGCACTACACGCTGGCGCTCGGTTGGAGATGGTGCGAACCGGATCACTTTAGCGCACTGCGGTGGGTACTCGTTCATACAAAAAGCGATGAAGAGCTTGCACTGTGGGAAGGACAAATGGCTGTTTCCAGAGCATTCAGGTACTATGCTAACTTTCTTGCTGTCGTTGCTGGATACATCCGCTTTGGAACTTTCGATCAAAATCAAGGGGAAGCTTTTTTTATTCACATCACGTTCATGATCTCTATTCAGTATACGAGCACTGATTTTTATATTACTTCTAACCAGGAAGATTGCCATTACCTGACTTGCCTTGTTCTTATTCAATGCAAACAAAACTACAGGCTCGTTCCGATGGGTCAACTTCTATGTGGGTTTGGCACATACGCCAAGCAGTGCAGGCATCGGGAACGCCTTTGTTGCCGATACTCGAGGGACATGGACGCGGGAACAGTTGCGAACTAGTGCGAGGTACGACTTTCTACGAACACTAGAGGCGACTGAAAAGTTTGCAGTGCGTGGCAAGATAACAACATCGCATGGCTTTTCTCTAGGCTACGACGATGGCGACAGTGGAGCGCCTCCATCAGCGGGAAATAGCAATGACAATGACGATGCATCTGGTCTGCTCGGCAGGACTTCCACTACTACTACTTTCAATCAGGGAGTAGGTCTAGAACCAGATCTAGAGAAGCAACCTCAATCGCGAAAGACAAACTTGTTTGGGACCGCGATGGGCATGATGCAAGGTAGGGTAGGAGCAGGGGCGTCATCCTCCTCGTCTTCATCCTCCGTTGCCGTTGGTGGATGTCCGTCACGCACAAGCAACTTGCAGCTGTCTCGAGGGACGAGTCGTGCGCCGGGGCTGCTACAGCCGGCTCTACAGATGGGTGAAGAAGTCGTCGAGATGGATGTAGATTTAGATCTTGTCAACGAGGGCCACCAGTCGCATGCGCATCGTCGGTTCATCTCTTCTTCTTCTTCTTCTTCTTCTTCTTCTCTCTTTCCCGCTCGGAGGCTCCCGCCTGGTGATGAGGATTTAGGTGTGTCAAGCACTGCAGGAAACGCACGTCAGCAGTCGCAGCCCCACGGTCAAGGCGACGATGTTAACCAACGCGCAGGTCTCTCGGGTGTTCCAAATCCACGTCTTTTAAAGGTCGGGAGGGCTGGAGCGCTTTGGTCATTAGCATACTGGTTATCTGAAACGCTGGAGCGATTTGCTCACGAGAGTTGCCACGACGCTTTTCAGCAGAAATTTGACGCAGCCGAATCTAGTGGTGACGTTGACATGCAAAATCAATTAGTAGACACCTTCGCTGAAGGTCCTATCCCCGATCGAGTTAAAAACGATCCCGGATCAGCTTCTTTGCGCAGCTTGTATAGACTACTTCGGAGCAAAAGGAAGAAAGGTGGTGTGCGCTTGCGAACTATGAAACGGGTCAACAGAATGGTCAAACATCTTCCTAAAACGACGATACGCGTAGAAAGCCGGCACGCAGTGTGCAAGCGTAGAGCGGAGCAAGCCAATTGGAACTGGTTCTCCATGAGTACGCTGAGCGCAATCACAAACGCTGCTGCGATAACTGGCCGATGCCGGCAGCTAGACAGGATGGAACGCGTTCAGCAGCTTCTCAATCGTCAAATTGATCGATCAACCTCGAGGCGGGCTCTTACCTATGAAGACCAACGTAGAAAGGAGGCAAAAACAATGTGTAGCATGCCGAAGGGGGAGGAGCTTTCTTTTGAAGAACGAAAGACTTTAAGTGAGAAAGCGAGTGTCCGCACGCAGGAGCTTCGAGCACTTGATGTACTTACTCAACGGGGCGCGTTAGAAGGCTACCGTTCTTTTTCGAAGATACAGCACGCGCTGAGACCTGTTCGTGACGCTTACCAAGACTTGAAGCGGCATGCTTTAAGTTTCTTTGCCATGGATGTGGTCGCGGTTCATAACGAAAATATTCAGAAGAAGTTTTCTCATCAGGCTCGAACTGGTTCTGGTGCGGTAGAATCAACATCAAGCGACAACCAGGAGGTGGGAGAGGAAGATGAGGCGTCTGTCGTGGTAGGAAATTCATCTTCATTCGCCTGCGCAAGCCAAGATGCTGCCATGCGTTTGAGGCGTTCCAGGTTTGAGAGGAATTCTTGTGATACTAGGCAGGAGCTCTTGTGCTGTAAACCTTTGAACGTCGCGTCGCGTTTTGTCGATCGGGAGCAGTATCCTCTCGATGTAGTGCGGTCTGTCAAGGAGCGCACGTTGGAAACAGCGACGACAAGTTTTTTTGTGGAACACACGGGCACTGAAACAGCAAGGAAGAAGCAGCAGCAGGTTGATCGATCGCACTCCATCTTGCAGAACCTTACTAAGCAGTTAGAGGCGCTACAAACGAAATCGAAAAATCCAAAAGGTCGTGGTAAGAGGAAAAAGTCTCCTGCTCCTCAGGCTCAAAGTGCTCGTGGCCAGGATATTGGAGAGCAGAGCGGAAGCGGAGCTACTAGCAGAACAAATGGGCGCAGCCGAAACCACAACGCGAAAGCTGCCGCTCTTGCTTCTTCTGCCGATGTACAAGGCAGTCGCCCTGATCGTGGAACAGCTGACGCAGGTGCCGATCTGCATTTGTGCTCGCAGCAATCGGAGGGAGGTATAGAAGTAGATGAGAAGGTCATCAGTAGTGTTTTAGATGAGCTGACAATGCATTTGAAGGACGCGGATTCTGGTGCTGGCAACGGAGAGCAAGTCTCTGCTAAAGATCTTCCAGAAGATTTAGTAATGGAGCTATCGGAGTTTCGGAATTCGAAAAAGAAGATCGGAGTGCCTGCAGATGAAGACTTCGTGCAGAATGCTGAGGACGGAGAGCGAGTGCGAATTGATAGGTCAACCTGCGTCCTCATCGTAGAGGCAATCATTCGCCCGAAGACGAACGCTGCTGGAACGCGTTCACCGGAATCCTCAATAGTTGTAGATGGATTCGCTGACGCTCCTGCTCCTGGCGCAAGTAGTAGCTCTAGTTCATCTTCTTCTTCGGGAGCGCAGCGCCAGCAGCTTCTGCTTCACGGTGGCGATGGCTCGACGCGAGTTGTCAACTCTACTACTGCTAGCACTGGTTCACAAAAGGAGCTGCAGCATGCTGGGGTCCGTAGCTTGCACACTGAGGAGCATGGAATGGGTCGCAGGCACAAAGTTCGCGCGGGTGGACGAGTAAGCGCAACATGCATCGAGGCAGAGAGAGCTTCTTGTAGTGAAGTTCGACCTAGGCAGACCTCCGCTTTGAATTCAAAGCATGCAGCTTCGGCAAGCAGTAGCAGCCGTACTAGAGCAGCAATCTTCAGTGCCAGCAAAACCGGTTTCGCCAGCTCCAGCGCGTCGGAGAGCACGTTCCTGCTAGGAGAAGATGGCACTTCTGCGGAAGATATCTCGCGGAATCTGCGGCCACCGCACCATGATGGGTCCGTGTATTTTGTAGTGTTGTACCGGAACACCTATCCTTCTCCGAGATTTGGTGGCTTCGTAGTAGAGCCTGTGGAGCTCACGCTTGACGATGCGCTCCTCAGCAATGGCGCTCGCCTTCAGCCTCGTAGTGAGAACCAAGCAGAATCTTCAGGTTCAGCTTCGACAGGCGCAGGGAAGTCCATGTCGATTCCGCATCCTCGCGGACTGTCTACAACTACGTCTACTAGTGCTGGGCGTGATGTTTTAGGGGCACATCTAGAACCTGACGAAGACCTTTTTGATTTTGATCTACCTCCAGCGCGTCAGGAGCTTCGTCTTCTTCTTGGCGATACAATGGAGTTTCTAGGCAGCTCCACACTCGACGACCTCTATGATGTAGAGGGATACAAGTTTTACCGCGCTTTGGAATGTGTTGCAGAAAACGACTCGCCGGCGTTTCGCTTTCTCATTTCGCCGCGGGATCAGTGGGCCGAGCCTTCAGCAGAGAAGCAAGAGAAGACGCTTGCGCGAGAACATAGAAAAATGGCGACAAAGGAAGGAGTTGGGCTAAAGCACTTGGTTGAAGAAGAAATAGAGGTGGACGCAGCTGTAGAAAACTCGGATGAGAGCGATGGCGCCAGTGGTTTCGGCTGCGCAAGCAGTCGCGACACCGTGCCAGCATCGACACCAAGTGGTCGCCCTGCTCCTAAAAACTGGCGAGAAATTTCAGCCAAAGCCGATGGGGAGAGAATCGCTCCAAGAAGGCAGAAGAGTATGCGTGAAGCGCAGGCGAAGGCCCAAACGCTGAAAACGATTCCAGAGGAGGGCGAGGGCTCTGCTGCGTTCGAGGATGCTACGCCAGGTAGTACTTTCTTGATTTTTTAAATGGCAGCGAAAGTGGCTGCTTGTTCAGTAAGGCCTGCGCTTGCGTAGGATCGATGTGCGAGCGACCTTGCCCGGGCGCTGCCTTCTCGGAGAACGTTTGCTGCGGCGATGCGCGTGGGATTCGATTCCAGGCGAGCGGGAGTGCAATTCAGCAGCTGGGGGCTGCAATTTCCGAACCGCGCGGGCTGCAGGGTATGGCACCCCCTCCCGCCCACTGCGTGCGCGTCTGTGCTTCTGTCGCGGTGGTGCGATGGGTTGTCTTCGCTTTTTGCCTGTCGACCAAAGGCGCACGCCTGAGCGGGCGGACCGAGTGCCGGCGGCGTCGGCTCGGTTGGGTTCTGCTACACGCAGAAAGCGGGCGCGGGGTTCGAGGGCTTCTACTCGTAGGGGGTCGCAGCTGGCTGGGAGGCTAGGGGGTGCGGTCCAAATGGCTGGGGTTTTGCATGCTCTGGACCTATATGCCAGCGCCTTGCTGGCCTGCTGGCGTTGCGAGCTTAAGATCGTGGCTCTGGCTGCGGCGGTGCCAGTGCTTGCCGATGTGGGTGCCCCTGCCCGCTGCCATTGCTTTGGAGTGTCTTGCGAGCCGTTTCGACTTTCGAGCAAGGCCGCGAGAATAGGAGCGGCAAGGGAGAAGAAAGCCTCAGAGGCTTGCTGGCTGGTTCAGTACTGTGATGCCGAGACCCGGTTCATTCCTCGGCGCAAAAAGATGGCGGCCAAAAGCTGACGAAGAAACTGATCGGCCAGAAAGAAGGCGGCCTCTGCCGCATGAAGCCGCGGCCGAGACAATTCTCGCTACCTGAAAATAGTCGCCAAGCTTTCGGGTTTCTGTACGCTTGTCGATGTGTGTGGCCGCGTCTGTGGGGTCGCTCGCGTCTTATTGCTGGCAGAGTGGCGACTCGTATACTTCGAAAGGGCCAACGTGTACCGCAATGAGTATGGATACGCCAAGACGGTGGGAGGCCTTGCTGGTCTGTTCTACAGTTTCGCCCTAGCGGGAAGGCCGTCGGCAAAAAGGCGAGCGCGTGGCGACAGTCAAGACGCTAAAGCGCTTGAGGAAGTAAGTCGGGAGAAGGAGCAAGGAGGAGGCGGCGGCGAGTATCTACGCAGAGAATGAAAACGCACAAGGAGGAGAGCGGCGGCTTGCGATGGTGTTGGTGTCGCCGTGGGGGGTTTCGCTTCGCTGGTGGGCCGTTGCTTGACGGTGGTAGGCTGGCGCGTTTCTTCGGGTTCGTTTATCGGCTCGCCTTCTCGCGGGGGGCGCAGTCGCTTGCCTTGCCTCTGCGGAGCGTTGGCTTTCGCGGTGGGTGGCAGTTTGCTTGCTGGCGACGGATGATGGGGGGCCATCCAGTTGGTGGGAGTGAAACGCTGGGGCGGCCACTGCGAGCGCCCGTGAGTGCTGCTTGTTGGGTTGTGTGGCTGGGGTCGGCGTGTGTTCTTTGCATTTGCTTAATCGGTGTCAGCCACTGCGCCGGGGTTGGCGCTTGCTAGGTCTTCTGTGTTTCAGAGGCTTGCTCAGTTTCGTGCTCGTGGGGCGGTTTGGTATGACTTGGGCCAGATGCAGGCGCCCAGGTTTCTGGGGCTCTGGGTTCTGGCGCAGCTCGGGGTCGCTTGTTGTGGACTATCCTGGGCTGGTTTGTGGCGGCGGCGTTTGTGGTTCTTCTGCTGCACACGGAGCGAGGGCTCGTCGCTTGAGGGCCGGAGAGTGCGCACCGGGCGTGTGGTTGTCTTTGTTTGCGGCAGCAGATGCGTGGTTCTTTTATGTGTTGCCTTATTGTTTCGCGCTCGTCGTCGTCTCTATCGGGTGGAGTTCAGTCCGCTCAGTTTTATTGGCAACGCCAATCTGCTTTTTGAAAAGTATCTGCGCTTTTCATAATCGCCCACTTACTTTTACAGGTGCGCCGAAAGCAGGCAGTCGCGCGGATGGTGGTTTGCGTAGAAGTGCGATCTCTGGCCAAGAAATTTCGGCTGTAAAAGTTCGTGCTCCTGTTGGATACAAAAGTGGACGCGCAGGCAATGCTTGCGCACTGCTGGTGGAAGACGAAGCAGAACCAGAGGCGACGCGAAAAAAGAAGAAGGTGGAAGGAGGCGAGGCTGCATCTACAGCCACGTCTAGTTCTAGTCTTCCCAAACGTCCAGGAGAGTCAATGTCAACTTCTATCAACACAAGAGCTGCAGCAGAGCTTCGCTCACAGTTGCAGAATGATGGCGATGTTTTGGGGGAGACTTGGAGAATATATCTGCGGACGACGCTCTTGGTTGCGGTTGCTTGGCGACGTGATACTTTAGAGGGAGAGCAGTATAGCTCAATCATTAAGAAACCGGCTGGACGAAAGGTGATGAGGTGCGACGCGGATGGGAATACTTCGCGAACGACTTCCGTGGGGCCAACGGTTTCAGAAGCTTGCCTACAGGTTTGGGTCAGACGGGTCAGGTTCTGCACCAAGTGGTGGGCGGCTGTGCCGCGAACAAAAATCCCGCAGGAGCAAGCACTGATTTTTATGGTCTGGCTTTCAAGCTCTGCTTTGGTTGTGCTTGTAAATGTAATGCTTGATCATGGGTCTGCTAGGAGAAAAGTGCATACTTATGCACGATTGAGCTCACCGCTTCACTTTTATATAAGTATGTAACGAATAGCAGCGACTTATAGTCTAACTTCAACAGGGTGAGTATCTATTTGTTTCCTTCTTAGATAGTCGTGAATGTCACGCGCACTCATTGTTGCACGCTGCTCCCCAGACCTGGCTCCTTGTAAGCTCGTAGCTTATTTGTCAGCGGGAGTCGGTACATTTCTGATAGCAGCCAGTAGCTGCGGGCTACTCGCGTGCCTTCGCTCCCGCTCCCTCTCCCCTCTCATAATAATGCGTGAGTACGGCAATTGGATGCAGACGGTTTTCCAGAACGCGAAAGCGAAGCAGATCGGCAGTCTTGCGTTTTGGGGTAAGCTGGAAGCCCATGATTTTCAGTACCTCGACGTGCCACAAGCTGGAAAGGGACAGACGAAGGCGTGGGAAAGGCGTCAGCAAGCTGCTGAGAAGGCGCGCGACAGCAACGCTCGAGGACCAGCTGCCACACGTCGGCAGGGAGAGCGAAAACCGGAGACGAGGAACACGCCTGCGGCAGTCGGCTCTGCTTCATCCTCGAGCAGGGTGCAAAACGTGAAGGAAGCTGGGACCAGTGGAGCCTCGGCTTCAGCTCCAGCGCTGAAGACGGGCGCAGCGCTTGGGCAGACGCAGACGCTTGGGACTGGATTCAGCCAGCCACTCGCACGGGGCAAAAGCATGACAGCGCAGCAAAGCAACAGGCCAGCGGTGCCCGGTGCGGAGAGTAGCAGACGAGGCGGACCCGTTGGCGCCGATGCGAAGCCATCGGACTCGCCGCTTCTTCATCAGCTCAAAGGCCGCCCAATCACTGAAGAGGAAGACACAGAGAGCCTCGAGGAATGGGCGGAACGCTTCCAGAGTACCAGGCAGAGGGATGCTCCTGCGGTACCAGGTTCGTTCTTCTCTGGTCTCGGGCCGGCGCTCTTTGGTGGTTCGTCTAGTTTCAGGATGCTGGAGATGGACAGCGAGCGAGCACGCAGAGCACAGCGCGCGCAGCAAGCACCAGGTGAAGGATTAGCTGGCGAAGAACTTCTGGGGGTCACAGGCTCACTAGTGAAAGAGCAGCAGGAGCAACAACTGCAGCGACAGCATCCGCTAGCGCCGTCGCGTGTGCTCCCGAACGAGATCGGAGTAGGCTCGAGTAGTTTCGTCGAACAACAGCAAGAACAAGCTGAAGAAAACGAAAGGCAGCTGATTGACGAACTCCATCAGGATGCAGACGAGGAGCAGAGCATGGCGGCCGCGGTCTTGGCTGACAACGGTGTGACCCTTGACAACTTCGAAGAATCTGACATGAATGACAAAGAAGATCCAGAGGCGCACAGCGATGACAGACGCAAGATGAACAAAAGAAGTCGGGGGGCGCTTGCTGTGTGTCAGAAGCAAGACCAGGACGCTTCTGAGAGTAAGTCACCAAAAGCAAAGCGAAAGCGCTCAGCCTCAGGCGTGTGAGAGTGAAGCGAAGACAGATGCCATATTACCTAGCTACACTTTTCAAAGTTTCTGTTTCTGAGAATGTTCTAGTACTCTTCAAATAGTCAGTTGCAAGCCTGAGGAGCTCAGTCTCTCGACAGAAGCAAAGAGCTTGCTTGCGTATGAGTCAAGAGCAAGACCGGAGGAACCTCCCAAACAGGGCAAGGCCCTGCGGCTAAGATCTTCAGGGAGCTGCGAGTGGGGTGGGGCTCGTCGTTGATGACGGAGACGCCCGCGCAGTTGCGTTGAGTCTCTATTAGGCTGAAGCCACAGCGTTAGAGGTGTCGGCTTCGGGCTTAGTCTGTGCTAAAGCCACCGGAGTCGGCTTGGGCAGTGGCTCGCGTTCCTCTTCGGGTCTGTTAGTTCGTCCACTTTCACACACGTCAGAAGCTGAGACTTTCTCTCCTTGGATTGAACGTGAAGCAAGGGGGCGCCTTGGTGATTGCTACTAACGCACAAAACAAAGGCCACAAAGGTGCAGGGCCGAGCATCTCGCCGCGGTGCCGCGCCTCAGTCGCCTCTTTTGCATGCTGCAATCCGCTTGAAGTGTAGCACCTAGCGAGCCTTCAACGCAGATCTCTTTACCGTGCGACGGTTTTCAAAATGACACGCGTCAACAGTGAAACAGCCCACTGCGGTGCCTCTTTGGTGTTGTCTATATTTTTTGCGTTTTTCTCTTATATTTTTTGACTTTTTGCTCTATATTTTTTATATATTTTTCAAATATTTTTGATATATTTGTACTATATTTTTTGTTGAAACGCAACTGATATCCAAAAATAACACCTGAAAAAAACATGTAAAAAATATAGGTAAAATATAGGACCAAAATGTGGAAAAATATAGGTGCAAACGGCAAAAAATATAGGCTCCACAAAACAGGCATCGCAGTAGCCTGTTTCGTTGTTGAAGTGTGTCACTTCGAGAACCGTCGCACGGTAAAGAGATCTTCGTTAAAGGCTCGCCAAGTGTTGCGCTTCAAGCTGTGGCGCGCCCACAGGTGAAGCGAGTGGTGGTAGCTGACTGAACGAGGCGGAGCAAGCGAGAGGCGCCTCGGGGTTTTTGCTGCGTTAATCTTACCAGTCGCTCCACAAGCTTAGCAAGGTTCCAGCACAGCTCGGCCACGGCCACTGCGTTCTTGGAGAGCGTGGCGCACTCGCATAGAGCGGGTGAGCGGGGTGCCTTGACTGAGATGGACGCTAATACGATCGAAAGGAAACGCGCAGCCCATCGCGGGGCTGGGGCATTGCCATGCGCCGGCTCTGCGCTACTGGGCATGCCGTTGCTCGTACTCGGGCAGCATCTTGGCCCGGAGGAGGCTAGGCTTGAAGCGGAGCAGGCCAGGGGCCTGCCAGCCTCGCGTAGCGGTTTCTCTTGTCTTTTCGTCCTCCTCTGTGTGGGTGTGGTATTGGGCAGGAGGCATGGCTGATAGGCAGCGGGCAGGAGAGTAAACAGGGCGGAAGGCTGAGAACTAGACTGACAGCAAGCCCAACTGCGGCGCAAGAAAGTTGTCTCGATCTGTGTGCTCCTTCTGAGGTGTGAGCGTTGTCGCAGTGATTCAATTTGAACTAAAGTAGGCACATAGTGAGGGGTAGACACGGAGCAAAAAGCGCCAGGCGCGCAAATTCATCGTAGAATGGAAAGGATGGGCGTCGTGAACGGATGACGAGGAGCTCACTCTTGTCGGAATCAGTGCGGTCGCCGTGTGTGTGGTTCATCGCGTTACCCATTGAGGTGCGAGGCTTCTTCGAGTAGCTAGTGGCTGAGGCTGCCTTGTCTGGTTTCTTGTCTTTCTTCTTGCTGTCTGCTCAGAAGCGCCTGGCCTGCTTTGTGGGGTTTCTTCGTTGCTGCGCATCGAGAGGCGGCGTTCTCTCGTGTGGCTCGTGCTTCTCTTGTTGTTTCTCTTCTTGAGCTCGGGATCGGTTGATGCTGGCTCGCTTGCGAAACGAAGAGGGGGGCGCCTGGGTTGCTGGTCTCCGCCGCTCTCTTGATTATTCTCCCAGCGCGCGGACAGGATGCGGATCTGGTGCGCCGCTTTTGACTGGAAAGAAACGGGCAGAGCAGTTTCTTACCCGTTTGAATGAGCTGCATGGCCCTCAAGCCACCAGAGGAGCGAGGGAGCAACCACAGCGCCAAGTATGCAAAAGCAAAGGGATGCAGCGTCTGCAGGTATCTGGCTTCTTAGGTGGCTTCACTTGTGGAGCTTTTCTATTTGTTCTCGTGTTTTTGGTTTGTTGTGTTGTTTATTCTCGCCTAGGCAGGCTTGTGTGAATCTGTGACGGCTCAGACCATAAGCAAGGAGAGACAAAGGCGCAGGCCCGGGAGCTTTGTGGGGTTGTGCTTCTAAGGATAAAAACCAGCGGCAGAACCAGTCGCCTAACAGTGTGGGGGCTTTCGCTTTTGTGCTTTTCTCTTGTCTTCGTTCTCTCTTCCACTTTCTTACTGCGTTACTTGTGGACTATCTCGGAAAGCTTTGCCACTGTTCTTCACTGGGGCAGAATTCAAACGCCCGGCACGGTGTGCCAGGCGTGGGGGAATCCTGCGCGGCTGCTGGCTGCTTGCTGATGGCTTCACGCTTCTGCCGCTGCAGTTTCATGATGCCAGCGGTCGCGGCTGTTGTGCTTGGTTGACGTTGTTCGTAGATAGTGGCGCCGCCTGGTTCTAGGCCTGGGGCTGCTTGTAGTAAACTACTTTGGCGCATGTTTCGGCATTCCCGTTGGTGTTTCGCTCATTCTTCGAAACGGAGTAAGTGTAGCGATGGCGGGTAGGTTCTGCTTGTCATCTGTGGGGCTTGCGTGCTTCGTGCTTCTGCCTTGGGCGAATTTCAAACGCCCGGAGGCGTCCAAATGACAGGAAAGAAATGGAGCCTCGCGGCCTTGTTGTGTGGTTGGGGTGTCTTTCTTGTCTTCAGCGGTTGGGGGTGACTGTGTGGCGCCGGTGTTTGTGGTGCAGCTTGTTGCGCTTTCGGCGTAGGGTCTCCCCTGCGTTTGATTGAGTGCGGGCGTGGCTCCTTTGGTTCCGTTGGCTGTGCGATGTTCTTTCGCTGTGTGTTCTTGTTGTGGTACTCTGTCCTCCTCCCCTCTCGTTCGCTCTCTCTTCTGTGCTGGTGCAGAACTCAAACGCCCGGCACAGAGGTCGCCGACGCCGGCGATGTTTGTCGTGCTCCTTGAAGACGCCAGGCTCTGCTGGCCTCTGATTCGTTTGCTTTTCTGCTTGCGTATATCATGTTCGTTTATGTTCGTTGAAGCAAGTCGTAACTCATCAAAAGGGCTGCTGCGTGGCGTGGTGGGCATGTAGGAAACTGGTCAGGACGAGTTACACCCACAGCCATGCGGCAGCCCTCTGTCTAATCATCTGCTGAAAGCGGGAGACTTCGCGCCGGCTCGCGAACGGTGGCGGCCTTTTCGCCAGTATCAGTTGTCGCGTGCCCCTGTCCGTGTGTCTGGGTTGTCTTCGAAGGCTGGAGCAGAAAGAGCTGGAGCTGCGTGCCGCTTGCTCGTGTGTGGGCCTTGTGTCGACTCGTTCGCCATCGCCTTGGGATCAGAACCGGAGCAAGATGGCTCGGCCTTTCTTAATCTTATGAGTGGCTTGCTAAGTAGTGGCACTAGTAGACCTAGGTAGATAGTTTCACAACTTGGGTGGGGTTGGTTGTGGTTTCTGGTCGACCGTAGACTGATTTCGGCTCCGCATCTTGTGGGCTTTCTTTCTATAGCTTGGCTGAGGAGGATGGGGACGCACACTACTCCGAGTCGCGGCGTATGCTTATCTCGCTCTGCCGTGTTGGATGCACAGGGTGGCGCCTTTTACTGCCCGCGGGAGCGTCGCCCCCGGTGGCGCTGGCTGGTTGGAAATGGGCATAGGGTAGGCGCGCCTGGAGAGCCTTGAGGCCCTTGGGGGCGCCCTGCGTGTGAAGGGCTGAGAAGTGACCGCCCCCCCGGCTTGACTTTGGTGGAAAGTGCAGCAGGCTGGGCAGCTGCTCCCTGTCTTCTCTCGCCAGTGTGCCCAGCTGTGTGGCTTGGTCTTGCTCGCTGTAGCAGTAGCAGCGCGAGCACCCCGGACCCCGAGACTGAAAGGCATGGCAATGCTTAAGGAGAACCGCCTCAGCTTGCTACGCTTCTCTCCTGCAGACTGCCCAGCGGGCTGCAGCGTGTCGCCATCTTCTTCGTGATTTTTGAAGCTTCTCGCATGGCGCTGGCGGTAGGTCTCGCGCAGACTACAACGGCACGCACAACATAGCGGAGACCTTTTCTTATGCGGTAAATTGACAAGCTGACTCGATGGTGGAAGTGACGCGTCTGGTGCACAGGAGGCGGGCTCATATGTCGCGCTCGTTTTTTCATTATGGAGGCTGATCGAAATGCCTCGGATGCGGGGCGAGGGCCGCTTCGTCTGGGTAGCGTCTTCCTTGCATTCCTCGCGCCTTTGTTCCATGGAACTCTTCCACGCTGCACCGGCGGAGGCAAAGCCGCAAAGCAACTGGGCTGCGGTGGCATCGGGTCGGCCTTGTTATGTCAGGAGCATACTACGCAGGCGCCCGCTGGGCTGGGCTGATTTGTGGCCGACTGTTCTTCGCAGCACGCGGCGCATCGTCTGGAAGCTGGCCGCGCTTCATTTCTTTGGGCCAGGCAACCGGTGCACACTGGGAGCATCTCGCTGGTATTGGGATGGGCGACTTCGTTGCGCAGTCAGTGCTTGCGCTTTTGTCTTATTCCGCTTATGTTGCTGGGTGAGAGGCTTAGCGCCTCGGCGTTGGGAGGGCCTTGAGCGTTGCGGGGTCGTTCTTCTTAAATCAATTGGCTGGGAACTGGCTTCCAGCTACTGTCGTGCCTTTCTGGTGGTTTGCTGCTCTGGCTTTTGCTTCTTGGGGTAGTTCTTTGCCAGGTGCTGGGCACCAAGCTGCTCGGGAGATGTTTGGGCAGTCAATGCAACGGCCTGCAGCGCGTTCGCGATTGTGGCGGCTTGTTTTGTCTCTCTGCTGCTCTTCTGTGCATGGGAGTAGGCTGGCGTGGAGTCTCTGTGGGTTTGGTTGTAGCTGCCTGCGCAATTCCGCGACGCTGGTCGCCATCCCGAACCAACGCCACCCGCTGGCGCAGGCAGGCTACTCACTCTATCGGGATTCGCCTTTTTCTATTGCTTAGCGCGCAAACAGATGGGGGACACTCGGTCGCGCGCGGGGTGGCACAGATTGTTCACGCTAGTGTTAGTTGTTAGCGAGCTTCTTTCTCTAACTCTATCTCAGAGCTTTGCGTGATCGTATTATGTGTACATTTTCTTTTTCTTCTAATATGCAACGCTTTAGCCTTGAAAGACAGCGCGAGCATGTGGGTGTGGGCGCTAGCGCAGCTGCTGTCTGGCTGCGATTGTCGTCTCTAGTCGAGGCTGGCGCGAAGTCGGAGCGTGCGTTCGCTTTTGTGGCGCGATCTGCACGGGGTCGCCATTCTGGAGTGCTGGCCATGCTCCTCTTTGTGCTTGTTCAAAAGCATTGCGTCTCGCGTTTCAGTCGCCGTTCTTGTGGTCTCCGTCTTAAGGCTGGCTTATGCACTTGGGCATGGGCAATTCAATCTAATTTATCCTCCCGCATTTCAGTAGAGTCTTAACATCTTCATTCAAAAGAAGCAAGACCTCTGTCTTTCCTTTACACGTAATTCGTCGAGCGAGTGCCGCGCTCTAGCTAGATGGTATAGAGATCTTCTTAGGCAATCTTTTTTCATCGTTTCGTGTTAAGGTGATGCATGTGACGAGAGTAGAAGTAGAGACTATACCTGGAAACTTATCAACGCTACACAGCCTGACGCGGTGGCGGTAGCGGAGCGCAGGCAACCTCTTCAGAGAGCAGTCGCAGGATCGAGCTTCTGTTTGATCAGCAAGTGTGGCCATGGCTGCAGTGGGCCGCGATTTCAAGCTCAAGCTCAGCGCAAGCCAGTGAATGCCTTCAGTGTTGTTGGAGCCACGAGCAAATGCTTCAGTTCTACTTGTGGACAGCCTGTTGCTCCTTCTTCGAAGTCAGACAACGTTCATCCCGTCAGCAGGAGTAGTTGTAGTACTCGTAGCGCAGTCTGTGATACTCATGGCGTACAGCGCTTTTTGTTTGAAACGCCTGCGCGAATTCCGCGACCAAGAACAACGCAGAAAAGCGACGAAGGCTACAACCTACACCCAGTCAGACAAGGAGCAAAAGTGCCAGAACCAGGAGCGCCATCACATGATGTCAGCGGACTTTGTTGCAACCTTTCACAACCTTCTTCTAGCACGACTACGCACAGCGTGAATGGACACGACTATGACCATGAAAAACAAAGCGCGAAGCATCTCGCTGTCGCAGATTCAGGAGAGCCTAGAAACCAGATAGAGACTGCAAATGCACTAGAACCAAAAGCGCTCTTGTCAGCTCCTGGCGCTGATCGTCTTGAAACTACTGATTATCCCCAGCGCCAAGGGGTTTCTTCTAAAGTGGAGAAGACGTCCGCAGCCGCACCTGCACAAAAACCGACGGCTTCAGCGGCAAGAACGAAATGGATCGCCAAGGGTTCGCTCTCTCTAGCGGCTGACTTGGCTAGTATTTTCAGAAATACAAATGAAGCATCACACTCACAGAAGGAGCATGGAAGCGCCGTCGACGTCATCCTGCACGAGGCTGAAAATAGTAGTGCTGTAGAAGATGAAGGCGTAGAACAGCGTCTGCAGCTGTATCATCATGCACCTGACGCAAACACGGATCAGAATTTCAACCCTAACCTTCCAAGTCACCCATCGCCTCGACCCGTGTGCGATCGCGATTATGAGGAAAATGCTGATGAAGATGATAAGGGTCTTCATGGATCCGCTGCGGCCTGGGAAGGCGACGCTGTTTACGCTTCTGCAGAATGTCGCGTCTGTGTGGCTCTACCTCCAGCGGTAGCCTCCAATACGTCTGACGCAACTAGTGCAAAACCAAACGGGAAGGGAGACATAGTCGCGCCACCTAGTTCTAGTAGAGTTTCTCTTCTTGCCACTGTCGAGGACCGAGCTCGAGATCGAGACCCAGTGGAAGACAGAAGACCCTATTGTAAGAATGAAGATGCTGCTCCCCCTGAAAAAACCACTGGCAAGAGAAGCGAGGATGAACGAGGGCAGGCGACATGCGCACGCAGTCATTTAGATTGCGAAATACCTGGTCCGCAAGCGAATAATAGTAAGCGTCGCCGTATAGCTGGAGTCAAGTACTTCAACATGAAGGCTGACGCGAATAGTGCATCCAATTCTGGTCTCAGAATAATTACAACTTCGCTGAGACAGCAAAGAGCTTTAAAAGTTCTTGCTGCAGCATCAGTTCCTGTCTCTACACAGGGAGCGGCAAACTCAGATAGGACGGTCGCGTCTTCATCTAACCGAATGCTTGCGCGGGAGCAATCTTCTTCGCGTCTCAGGCTGAGCATGCCTTCACTTGATATAGTGTTTCCGCGCATGCCGGTGCTGGCGCAGCATGCCTCTGAAGTTTCGAGTAACGATTGCGTGCTCGGTGCTGGCCAGCCACAACCTGCTGTCGCGACCGCTGGAACAGAAGTAGCTGCAGCTGCACATGCCAACGCAGCTGGCGACGATCATCATGCCATTGCTTCACGGCATTTGCAAGAGAGATCCGGGACGCGCATTTTGTGTGCAGGTGCGGGATCGGGGTCGGGGATACTTGATGGTGAGCATCCAAAGCGCAACCTGAACCAAGACCAGAAAGCTCCAGTGAAAGACAAAAGCATCTTACTTCCACAGCTTCCTCAACTATGTTGTCTTCAGTCTAATACCAGTCAGAACAAGCCGGAACTGGATGCTGCTCCATCAAGATCGCCCTCTTGCTCACCCTTCATGAAAGTTGATGTGGCGGAAAGTAGTAGTAGTAGTGTCAATGCCGACTGGTTTCCTCCTACAGGTGCAGCGCATGAAAGTGAACCAAAGACAGAGAAGCGCGAGTCTACTTCTCTATCACACCTACAGGAGGATGAGACATTAGGACGAACAGATGCGAAGGTCTTCGATTCCGATAGCAGTGCTCATGTTATTACAAGCGTCGCTGCCGGCAGTGGTGAAGAACAGGAATCGCTTTTAGCTGGAGCTTCTGCGTCTCCTGGTCTTGTCGTTTTCACTTCTCGCACTACTGCACAGAATCAGATAGATGGAGGTAGCGCCGAACCTCCTTCACCATGTGCAATCCGTAGTCGCCTGCAGGATCTATTTCCTGACCATGATCACTTGGGCGACGAGGCGAATCGCAACAAGAAGAAGTCTCGCGCACCCAAGTGGAGTGCAGCACGTACACGAAAGGAAATCAACGCAGTGCAGCCTTGCGTCAGTTACATCTTCGAAGTATCGCAGGACCGTCTCTGTCACGATGCGCTTGTCGCTCTCGATGTTCCATCGCGACAACTTGTTGCTCGCTTAAAAGACATCAAAAAGAGAGGCACATCAGCACGGCTCGCGCAATTGATTCAAGACGCTGAGCATGCGAGGCAGCGCGTAAACACAGCGCTGCGCCGGGCGGTTGCGAGAACAAGCTTCGACTAGTTTCGTATGGCTGAATATAGCTCCCTTTACCTTTATCGCTGGCCTCTAGATAGTCGCACTATTATCACCTACCACGGAGACACTGACAATGAAAGCATCTTCTTGAGGTATGTGACAACACTAACAGTACTGAGTAACATGAGTTCAATCGTCACGCACGTAGGACGTCCAATATGTTAAATGTATATCCCTTATCCTGGTATACCTATCATTATCTTGGTAAGTAGACATGGGAAGCTACTTGCAAGGAGTGCCTGCAGTCTCATTTGATATCGAGGGATTCTTTGAGGAGTTTCCCACTCCATCAGCTCTAACGCCTGAACTGTCGCATGAATTTGGTGTCCGCGTGGCCCTGGCCGGCAACAGACTCGCAGACGGAGAAGACTAGTATCTTGCTGCAAGATATATATGCTTATTTATCGCTTGAGTTGTATTCTTATTCTTTCTGAGCGTGATTCTTCATGTTCTGGGTATCGATTTTTCGCTTGTGTACCAGGACACGAGAGGCTCGGCGTCGTTGTTACCTCCCTGTTACTTACGAACCATCTGAACTAAGTACTCCCAAGATATTCGTGATAGTGTCACACAACTATCTCAAGCATGTGGAATGAAGTATAACTTTTTCTCTCTGTGCATGATGCTCTTTTTGGTTTTAGTAAGTTGTAGCAGCCTTAGAATCACTTGTCGTGCTTTCCTATGCTGCTCATCAGTATCGATTTTATTTCTTACTTAAAGCTACCTAGTGTTCTTATCTTTTTGGCGACTTACAGCTAACGACTACGACTCTCAGAGAGTTTATTTGAGTTTAATAATTATGTCATAGGTTTAGATAGTTCATAGTTTTCGTTAGGTCATAATGCACGCATAGCCATAGCCTTAGCCATGATCTGAATTCATAAGTCACGAAAAATGGAAATGTCTTCAAGGAAGCAGCTGTGCACCACGTTGCACGCCCATGCCATCGTGTACAGTTAGTTCGTTAGATAGTTTGGATATCTCTACCAGCATAAGCATATCGTCAGCACTGTCGTGCATATGATTCAGAAGTGAAACCGTGCAGTGCCCTCCCTTCTTGGTCGTGCTTCGTTCTACTTCAACTACTAAGACCACCGATTCAATAATGCTAGCGGTCAGCGCCTTAGCATTAGTATGAAAGAAAGTAGACACCACACCAGTACTGCCGAATATTTTTATTAGTGTATCTGTATGACCTGCCAGCTTCTTAAAGGCTACATAATTAAAAATAAAATTAAACGGACCAAATGACAAGGTCGACGCTTTTCGTACTGAAGCTTATTTCATATTCATAACTTTCTCTTTCTCCTTGACGTTACTCATTTGCGCCATCGTCACAGCTCTAGCAGGCTATTGAACTTCGTGCATCAGTCTTGATTTGCATCTTAGTCTGGGCATGTGATCAGGATTACAGGCCTTACTAGAACTAGCGTCGCTACCCAATATGAGAGCAACTTTGTACTACAGAAGCAACGAAGGCTAGAGACTCACCTGCAAGCCCCACCACCCCCACCACCCCCACCTCTTACAACTACAGGCCTCTTCTTTCAGCAAGTTGATTGAAAAACGAATCTGCTTCAGCTTCGTTATAACTAGAACTGCGCAGCGCCGTGGGCGTCGCAGCGAACCGCAGACCTTAGTCTTAGTGTGGATGTCTGAAGACAGAGAAGGGTAGGCGTAGGTGGTCCATCAAGAATCAACTCTATTGCGAAGCCCCTTGAGAATGAGACGTCGCGACCCCCTGGATACTTTCAAAACAAGTGCTCGAGGGCTTGGCAAGTGTTTCTTTGCTTGTCTGTTTTTTCCAGGTCGACGTCGATTTTTTGTGTTCGAAGGGAAATCGATGGTGATTCTATTTTTCAATCGAGACTCTGACTCACTCGAGTCAAACGAGAGCAACGGACTTGGCTATGGGTGTGATTGCGTTACTTCTAGATTACTTTACATCAGTCTCGTATCTGCCTCATCACGACCTTTCCAGTTTTCGCCTTACGCTTAAGTGGGCGTAGAACCGAGTAGAACTAGAAGCTCGAGCACTTAAGTGTAGAAGCAGGAAGTAGATTGCCTCTCATCATATCCTCACCCTTTGGCGAAGCAGTAGCAGGATTTGTCCGCTTATAGAGGAGAGAAAGTCACTAAGCCTAAAGTTTAACAACAAGAACAAAACAAGATGGACCTGGGTGGCTATGGTCTCGACGATGAGGCCTTTGCCGCATTCGAATGCAAAAAAGCAGCCCTCGAAGAGAAGAAAGAAGGAGAGCGTGACCAGCGTTTCATCAAGAAACTCAATGGCGAGCTACGCCGTGATCTTGATCCCGAGGATCACGAGGATGTCCTTGCACTAGCCTCAACGGTCAACTACGGAATCAAGCCGTGCTTGACGCTTATGGCCGCTGAAGACGCTTTTGCCTCGTATGTGTCCGCCCTTGCAAGCTTGCCAAAAGGTGCTATCACTCTCCCTCGAATGAAGTAGGAATATAATCAGACTTACACTAGAGCTTGCTGTTCTTTCCGTTGTTTATGATAAAAGCTGGCTATTGATTTGAACCATACTTCAACTTCTGATCGTTTTCCTCTTCCTCGGGTCGGCCATCACGCTGACAGCCCCAACTTCTCAAACAAGGTGATCCGATCAAAGATGCCCTGACGGATGCTAAAAGCATGAAGACGATGATTAAAGTGATCGATGCATAGCGAATGCCCGTTAGAGTCGTTGCAACTTCAGGCGTTGAGGTAGAAGCTCTCCTCTGTTTTGTTTTGTGTGTGAAGTAATTAAATCGCACAGCACTAGACCCTCCTTCATGCGTAGACGTAGAGTGACCCGGATTTCTGTGCAGTTAGTTTTCTAGCAGATCCGAACGCAAAAGCGAATCTTTTTCATTTCGTCAAAACTCCTCATCCATAGATAAAATGAAAACAGTTTCTTTCTCCTCAGTGGGTCTATTCTTACTTGCTTATCTGACTAAACTACTGACTATCCATAATTCCATCAGTGAGAAATTGGTAGGGACTCCCGGATCCCTCTTCGAGCCACCAGCTACCCGATCGCTGGGAGATGCACAAGGAAGATGCCAAGAAATTTTCGCTTCGTTGGCCACAGTACGCGACGCTCATGTTGATTGTGCTGAATCTTACAAGGATTTCAAGTGCTTTCATCCGTCCTTCATGGATTTAGTCGCGCCGAGTGTAGCGCATATGCTCAGATACCAGCCGACCCTGGAAGCCTGCTTGACGTGGTGAGTTGTTATGTGATTGTCCTACTCATTCCTTCTAGACGCTGTCTTTCATCTCTAGGACTAATCTCGTCTGTTGCTGGACGTGATCTATCTTGTTCTTGACACTCAGAAAGCATGATGATGATGATGATGATGTTCACGATTTTCCTTTCATTCTTTCGCAGAGAAAACAAGTGCAACTACATCTACAAGTCCTTGCCCTCAAATAAAAGTCACAGCCAGGTCGATGCTCAAAGCCCTCACTCGTCCCTTCCCCTCTCCTCTTGAGCTTGATCCTCCTACCTTACCCTTACCCTGCCCCTACCCTATCTTACCCTACCCTACCCTACCTCCACCCCCGCACTATCCCTACTCCGACCCCTACCACCTCGCGCAACCTCACGACAGGATGGGAAAGTTAAGAGCTTTATTCCGTAAGATCTTTGGAGTTGGTCTCATGTTTGGTAGCTTAGCAAACTAGAGTTTTCCGATGTTTCATCTCCTTGAATGGTCATGGTTTCTTCTCCATCTTATTCTTATTGATTACGACGCAGTCGAACTTTGTCTCTTCTATTAATCATAGGTCAACAACGAACAAGGAAATGCTTAACAAATTCTGCTGGCTGCAGAAGACTCAAGAACGCAACCGTCAGAGAAAGCAGAACGAGAAGATCATGAGAAAGGCAAAAGTCCATGACTCTGGAAAAAAAGTGGTGAAGCCGATGGGCAAATATCTCGGCTCCAATGCCAGTCCCGGCAGTTCCATTCGAGGCCGGCATCGCAGCAGCAAAGCCACGAGTGCGGCATCGTCTGCGCCAGGCTCTGGACTATCCAAGCATACGATACCCCGGCGGGTTATACCCTTCGAAGGTTGGGTGAGTACCTTATCGAGCAGATTCGCCTTTTGCTGAAAGATCCGATGCGCGCTTCTAGCCTAGAACGAATCTGCAACCGTATACCTATACTGATCTTAAACTTATGAATGGAGAGTCATAACCTTGATATCATATCATCTGGTGAAGAAGCTTCTCGCTCGCCTCATGAGATGACGCTCATCAGACTTTCTCGTGGCTTTTCTTTTGTGCTAATGTTTCCTTTTAGATTTACTCGCCCTTGATCCAAATCCTGTCGCTTTCTCTCTCTACGTCTCTTTCTTTATTGTTCGAGTGACATGATCTTGCTTCACTTATGTACACCCTGTCTCTCGTATCCGTACTATCTCTCCGTCCACACACCTCCATCCACAGCGGCGAGCACTAGTATTCCGATCTCGCGACAGAGAATCCTTCGCGGCGTGCTCAAGCAAGCACTTGCCGTCCAGACCGAGCTACAGAGAAAGTATCTACATAAACAGAGTGGGGCTTTGTGGCGAATTGCGGTGTCTGAAAAAAAGGACATCCTGTATCCGTTTGCGTGGAACAATTTTGCGGAGTTCGATGTTTCTCATTTTATGGTACTCCGCATTAAGTTTAAGATTGCTACTCTACTACTATAGGTATAGTTCATCTATTATGCCATAGAGCAACCCTTCGCGATTCTAGCTTTATCCTAGTATGTGCTATAATATTTTTTATTATATATTGTGGCTGTGGAACTCAAGTCTACATCTAGTATTCACGTTCTTTTCCTCTCTCTTTCTTCTTTCTTGTTCATCTTAATTCTCTGTAAGTTCTAGTTCTTACCACTTCGTATTCGTATCCACCATTGTTTTTATCTCAAACCTTTTTGCTTCTCTTCTATTTTTAAAACGCATAAGAACTACACAAACACAAGAGTATTGCAATCGAGATGCTATCGCACTCAAGGACTTCCTTCTCTCACAGGATCTGAACACCCTCCTCATCTGCCAGGATATGCGCGAATTTGGTGGACGTGCACGTGCCAAGTTGGACATGGCGACTTCATCTACTTTTTCTATTTCTTGTATGACGAAGGGCAAGGGAAAAGGGAAGGGTCATAACGCTGGTGGAGGTTTACTTGGGTCTCAAGCGTACGCCACTCCGAGATACCACGAGGAAGAGAAGTTGATGGGATCGGTGATGCAAGACAACAACGAAAACGCACTACTGGGCCTGGGACAGATCGCGAGCTCGATTTCCTCCAACGTGAACACGAAGACGCTCTTCCCATCGGATCAGGGAAATCAGAACAACAATACTACTTCCACTTCCGCAGCTGGTGCTGCTGCAGCTTCTTCAACTGTTGGCTCTTCTCTTGCTGCAGCCACAGCGAAAGCGTCCTCATCGAGTACAGACAAGAACAACAACAAGAACCAACTGAATGCTCAAGGCACCAGCGAAACTACATCTATCACTACGACATCTACCAACAACAAGAACAAGAAGGGCAAGGCTGTAAACAAGAAGAGCAACAAAGAAGCAGAAGAAAAAGAAGAAGATCAAGATAACGATGACGTCGCCGACGAAGAAACTGCAAGAGAACGTGCTGAATTTCAGAGGCTCATGGAGTTGGAAGATTTTCAGAATCAGAAGCCGAGCAAAACCCGCAAGACCGGTGGTGGCGTCAGCGTTGCGAGTGTTGCAGCTTCGATCAACTCCAACCCGAAAGCCGCACCCAAGAACAGCGTCTCCGCCGAGGTCAACTCCACTACCACAACCAGCGCCAATTTGGGGATGGAAAATACGAAGGTCGAAAGCGTTCCCGCTGCTGCTGGCTCGAGTACTTGTACTAAGACCGGCTTTGGCTCTTCGAATATGCATTCTACATCTGGTGGTGGTATCTTAACGACAGGAGCCCGCGCGGATTCGGATTTCGATTATGGTATTAAGAAAGAGAAACAGCTTGTTTTCTTCTTTTTCGAAAGTGATTCGGTAGTAGAAGTAGTAGTAGCATCAGTTCGGGATCGTAGTCATTTGTTCTATGATGAAAAAGAAAGCAAGTCCGTATGAGTAGTCCTACACGCAAATGCATTTTATTGAAAGTCTTTTTCTATGCCATTCTTCACCAAAAACCTCACTCATCAGGTTTCGCGGAAATGAGGCCTGAGCCATATCATGAGCATTTTCTTAACATGTTCGATGGATTTGCGGTTGTCCGCGACGATTGCTGGATCATCAGAGTCCCCACATGGTACTGTTCTGCCGGCATCGACTTGTTCACTGATAAGGGCGTAATGGAGGGCTTGCTGTGTGACTCCGTAGCACCGGGCGGGAACAATTTGAAGAACATTACTTGGGAGAATTGGGAGTATCCTCAGCTCAACAAGGAAGATGGAGCTTCGATACTCCAAAAGGTTAACCACGCTGCTGCATTTGTGCAAGTCGTAGCACGAATGGAACTATGCAGCCAATTTGTGCAAAAGTACAAAGAGTTGAACGCTTTCGATCAGCGCATGTACATGGAGGGCGAGTTTATGGCTGACTTCAAAGCTTTGCTGAATCAAGTACGATCGGGCGACGACCTGGTATATTTTCATTTCTTTCAGAACAGTTCCAATTTCATTGAGTGATGCTTTTCGTGATGTGGTCCTGTCGTAGTAGAAGAAACGCACTCTATTACAGCTGACGCTCTTTCTCCTGGCGACTCCTCAACAACTAGCATTGTGCACACGATGCAGTAAGTTTCAATTCTTTCCTTCTGCTCTCATGATTATTATAACTAACAAAACGAAAAAGGTTGCGCCGACAACGTCGTTGAAACGCTTCCAAGACATGTTTCGCGTGTGGAAGACGTCGGGAACGCCTGTACTTGAAAAGTTTCAAGATGTTCCACGACCGCTTGACACCGTCTTTTTCGTTTTGAGCTTTGTGGACCTAGGCCTGGGGGCGAAAGAGATGGCCAATGCTGTAGGTGTGGCTTTCTACAAGCAGGCCTTCGAATTGTTGAAGGAAACGAAAGTCGACTGGATGCTTCTTCCGATGAAATATTACCAGCTGCTTACGTGCTACGCCATCAAGTCTACCACGAATGACGACAACACGAACGCTACAGAGTTTGTGCTCATTATTATCTTTAGGCTTTCGCAATATCAATGGAGCAGGAAGAGGAATAGCAGCAGAAGCACAAGGCTGTCGACTTTTGGTTTCTTGCTTAAGCTTATGCTTTTGATATATATTGACATATAGAAAGTAGTAGTAGATAGCTCGACCTCTACTCAAATCGTCAGTCCAACCACGATAGGAATCACTTTGCAAACTCGTCGTGTGCTTACTTTTTAGTAGCACTTTTCTCCTGCAACTCCAGGTGAACAATGTGCCTGCGCACTTGCTGGCGGATTTGAATATCTTGGCGAGTAAGGCGCGCATTTCAACTGACATTTTGTTTGATCGCAAGGCGCCGCTAGTGAGCGATCATATCGATCTCAACCTGCAGCCAGGAGAAGATCCGGCTATGACGAAAGCACTTGAGATTGCTGATAAGGAGGCTGAGAAGGAAAACGAAAAGGCTTCCAAAGCCAAAAAAGGTGGTCGTGGTCGCGGCCGCAACACGAAAGTCGTGAAGGCTAAGGTCGCCACGACTGCCATCGCCACGGTATATTCGTTGTTATTCATTCTCATCCACATGCAGCCCCAAGGCTGTCTGATGATCTAGATATACAGAAAGCCCTCACGTTGAAGACTTACATATTGGATACACAGAAATGGAAAAAGGAGTGTCATTGGAGACCGACAGAGGAGAAAGAACTTCCTTTGTATCCCAGAAAATGAACACACTCCTTTCCCAACTAATTAAAACAGGAAGCGCGACCTGGTGTATCTGTCGCACTGGAGGCACTGCTCAAGTTGTGCAAGGGGATTTTTGCTCTCCACCAGAGAATTACCAGTGCTGCGAAGGGAAGTGTGCAGGAATTCAGTACGCCAGTGGACTGGTATAATATTCCAGCGGCAATCTCGACACTGCATGGTCTTAATCCGCACTCGGACAAGCAGGCGCTGGGAGTAGTCAAACTGATGGTGCTTCAAAATATCTTTTTACCTTCAGCATCTCTTCAACCTATGTTTTAACTTTAAAACGACCTAGACTCTCTGAAGCTTACGCGAACCTTGATTCACCTTCTTTCTCTTATCCTTCATGAAGTCAAGAACTCCCTCAGTCCTTATTCCTAAGCACACATTCTCAATCTCACTCATCAGCATCAAAAAATTGGAAAAGCCGCTTTTTACATGCTCCGCTCCGAAGCCGATGTTACGAAGCTGAAGAAAATGATTGACGGCAAGGTGACAATGAAGGAGAAGCAGGACGTCATCGACAAGAACCTCCTGTCTCCGTATTACCGTCTCTATCCCGCTCTGCGTGGCAATCTCCAGGACTATGCCAGTGGCGACATCGAGGAGATTGATGATCTCGATGGTGGAGAGGATGGCGAAGACTACGATGATGAGTACAATGATGAAGAAAGTGACGGTGTAGATGATGGAGCATCCTCCGATGAGGATATTGATGACGCCTTCCGCTTCTAAACAACAAATGACAGGAGGTATGAAAGATGGTGATGGAGTCTATTTGAGAAAGGAGGTGGAGGTCTGCGGAGGCGGTCCGGCTTCGAGCGGGAGCTAGTGGCCGAGACCAGAACAAGACACAGTGGTGGATGGGATTGCTCTTCATCGTTATCATTATGGGAATGGGAGTATTGTTTTTCTTCTATCGCAATGAGACTAAATAAAAGCAAATGCCTAGTAATCTCGAACAAACAGCCCCTCCTCTTGTCCTGTAGTCATGAAGCTCAAAAACCTTGTCGATGTTTTTCTCTGTTGCAAGAAATGGCGTCTATTCAAGATATAGCTGGGTCGATCTCAATACTTTTTGTTCTTAATTTATTGTTCTTCTATCGTGTTCTTCTTCTTGACTAAGTTAGCTTTTACTTCATACTTATGAACTCTCACACCATGGAAGACCTCCTCTTAGCGGATTGATTAAAGATAAGATAGGACGTAAGCACTCCAACTTATACTGAACAGCTCGCACAAGTGCCGCCTCTTACCATTAGGGACTTGGCTTTCGCCATCTCCTAGAGGTATTTTTACTAGACAACTATGTAGCCAGCCATTCCGATTCTCATAGAGGACGATAAGTTCCGTGAGAATATCACTCAGCTATATGCGCATCTTGTCGATGAGACTGGAAGTAGATCGATAGTTACAGGTAGTATCAAAATCAATATTATAGAGCATCACTCGTCGAAAAAGAAAGGCACCGACTTCAATCATTGACATCATTTGCCCGGGTATTTTCTAGTTAGTTTCGTAGTTGCTTTCTTGATTGAGGATGTGGCATAGCCATAGAACTAAATGGAGAGTCACTGCGGCGCAGCTCTCTGCTTCATGCAGAAGCTGATGCCCTTGACCTTATCGAGTAGAGCGCTGCATTAGGTAGTCGTAGTCCTGTCTCAATCGACTGACGTTCCAGCAAACGATACAAGAAGCACAACGCGCTTCATGAACAGCATAGAAAGAGCTACTCCGTGCGGTGGTATTTCGTGTCGATATCTCGGCCAATCAGATTCATCAACTTCAATGACAGTAGATTGCCTTTCGTGTGGTACATTAGAGATAAACAAGCTTGAAATCATTCGTAGTCTTATCGTTTTTATTTCGTTGTGTTCAGCCTCATCTTCACTTGACAGCCAGCTTCTGTGATATGGGTTGGCGCTAGCTAGGCCCTGGAATGATTGAGGATGGGGCCAGTTGATTGCTCTTAATTCTAACAGTCCGCGATCTTTCTTCAAGTTCGTTTACATATCAGTCTCTGCTAATGGATTTGGATAGAAGCTTACGTATACACTACTCGCCCACGACGTCGCAGCCCCTCTGCAACCTTAGATCATTAACGCCTCAAATTTTTCAGAGTCCCGCTGTTCTCTGTTTTCGCATAAGTATCTCTTATCCGTTGCCATCACTTGCGAAAAAATTACTGTTGCCGACACACTTATCCAGTTAGCCCCAGGTGATGCTGCAGCTACAAAGACTAGCGGTCGGACATCTTAACTATTTTGTAACAATTTCTGATAGGACTCCACTGAAGTACACTCTGAAGAAAAGCCACAATGACAATGTGTGCAAAAATAATTTAAAGGATGAGCACAGCACAAACTCAGTTTCAAACTCTTACCCCCGGCCCGTTCCTCATTCATCTTCATGTGATCGAAAAACGCTGGGCTGCTGCCGTGCTTTCGATTTCGTACGGTTGTAGCCAAAGCATCAGATGAGTGGATCGAAATGACCTGGCTTGACTCGGTGGAGAGGTGAGGTGAGCGGTCGTTCTGTAGAATCAGCGACCAGGATGAAGATTTTCGAGATGTGTGGTCGAATGAGATTGAGAAGAGGTGAGTGCTAAATGTTAACTAAGTAGAAAGAGACCTATTGAGACATAAGCCGAAAGCTAGATGCAGGCCAACATGCGATCTTTTCAATCATCTTCAAATATCTTGTCTATTTTTCGCAGTGTCTTTTGCTTGTTCTGACCCCTGAGCCTCAGCCTTTCCTAACTATGAAACTTGTTGCTTCTCTGTATATGTGTATGTTCTTGTGCAAGCTTCTTAGAATTAGCATCAACATCAGGAGAGACGCTTTTTGATTTAACATTCCCATAACGTTAGCGTGGCCTCGCTTGTGAGTGGATCTAGTTCGTAACTCTTACTGTTCTTTCTCGACGCAGAAGATCGCAGCCTTTCGTTCGCAGTCGTCTTTTATGTTTATCTGCTGTTCTTGCAATCGTTGTAGCTCGTAGACTGGTGTGCCTGTACGTTTTTGATCTTGATTTATGACAATTACACGCTCGCGCTTGAGTTGGAGACCCTGGCTCCCAACCACCGAGCGTCTCGCATCATTTGGAAGTAAGTTATTGCTATAGGAGGTAGCGATGGATCAATGCGTTTTACTTTTCTCTTTTCGCAATGTGTATACTCATTTTCAGAAAATCTTAATCGAGATTCAATGTTACAGTAGATTCCCTTGAGGCCTGTCCTGAACCTAAGTGTTCTAGCCAGCTTAGTCTTAGAAGCTATACGTCTAAACGACAACATATATGAATAAGAACAATGCAAGTTTCTGCTGACGTGCTACTCTCTTAACTTATAGGCACTGACTTTTCTTGCAGAAAGTTGCTCTTTGATACTTCTCCCGTCTCAAACTCAATAACAATATCAAATGTAAAAGCTATCTTTTTTTTGTATTCGTATAATTGCCATTAATGTTAGTCACTCTATCGGATGAGAACCAGCTTCGACGGAAGTAGAAGCAGACGCTTATTGTTATTCTGTGCTGGTATTATTCAGCCTTGTTCTTTTGATCTTGTTCTTGTTGTGTCTGTATGTCTACTAACTCGTCTATCGTAGGCATAGCTATGTTCTTCAAATAATTGCCACTACATTCAGCCTTGACGTTCTTCCTCGCGGATGAGATCTACCTCAGTTGACTTAGTGACGGAGCAAGAACTGAACTGCTGCAGTTGTAACATGGAGCTATCTGAAACTCAATCATTCTTATTCTTATTGGCGGACCTCTCATATGAGTCGTAGTCGCAGGACAGCCAGTGCATAGAGCTGTAGGATGGCAGCTATTTCTCCGTAGACACCGTCGCGATCCACGAATCAAAATCGTACTAGTCGGCCGTCTTCGGACTAGAAGCTCGCTTCTCGCTCGACGTCGTGTTTTTTTCTTCAGATCTGGCTACAAATTCAAATAGAGTCTCAATCAGTGTCCATTGTGATGCTCGTTTTAGCTTTTCAGTATGAAGAACGACGACAGAATCTAAATCGTGAATGAAATCAGTTTAAGACTTAGAATAGAATGCGACTCATGAGCCAGCATAGTCGGAAGCTCTTTGCTATGTGAGCACTGGGACTCTCGTAGCGATCTCTCAGTTTGTGATGGTGATTATAGGCGTACAACTTGGGACTGGTTCTCTTCTGACTTTTATCTTCATCAGACAACATTTGAGAAAATAAAATGCTGACAATGCTATCGCTCGCGTTCTCTCCTTACAAGGTTCACTTCAGTGGGTCGGGCGCCACTTCTTCTTCTTCTTGAAAATGAAAATGGTCCACCAACTCCGAGTCCGAATCCGATCCTCGCAAAAAGGAAATGATCACTCCAGATGACGTTACGCTATCAAGCCGACATATCATCACAACGCATCAGCTCGACTACTTTGCAACTATTATCGAGCTCATCTTCTTCTCTACTCCTTGCTCGTGATCTCTCTCTACCGTATCACTCAATGGCAAAGCTGAAGTCACAGCAGTAGTTGTAGCATTACTTGTAGGTCCCTTTTCGTTCTCATCTAAGTTGCTGACGATTAAAGGTAGACCTTCGATGGCGGCCTTATTTGCTTGGGAGAAGAACAATCAATCGAGGTCGAGATGGTGCGTGCTTATTCGGTGATGCAAGTGCAGCGTCGATTCAGAGTCCAGCTGCTCTATACTTAGCGTCGTGGGGTCTCTAGGTCTAGCATCATAAAAAGCGTAGTGCTTTTGGGTGTCAGTCTATGAGCGTCTGCCTTCTAGCGTGAAGATGTACGCCTCGCAGCGGGAACGCCTTGGAGGGCAAATCTCAAACGGCCGAGGAGACGACCAAAGCCGTGCAGTGCGTTTGCTTATTAGCGTGGCGAGCCCTACCCCTTCGCCCGCAGTGCTGGCGGATGCCGCTCCGGTGAGCGCTGCTGGTAGCTGACGGTGCCGCATCAGTCGGCCTTTTTTCAGCAGTGACCAGTGCCAGTACGTATACGGAACGCGATGCTCCGCAGCAGGCCGCGGCGCAGCAGCAGACTTCATGCAGAACCGTCAGAGTCTAGATGTGAGACCTCCCATGAAGAAGCACCTACTGTTGTCAGCTGACGCTGATCATGTGAGCTTCGCTGGTGGTCTCCTCATATCTAGACCAAAAAATAAAGATTTGTAGCCACGGCCAAGCAAAGACTGGCTGGCAGTGATCTCCTTGATTCCCAGCGGATCAGGGTAGAACTTGCTGACAGCACGTGTTGCCGACAGTGTGTTCTACCCGAGCGTTGTGACCTATCTTGTGTAGTGAAATTGACATACTCAAATTTGTGACATTTCGAGTGTAATACTTGAGAGCAAACAGAAACTAAACTAATTTTTTTTTCGAAAAATATAGTACAGGTTTTAGTGATTGAGCGACTGCCTTTAAAGTAACTTTATTGTTTATTGCTTCTGATAAGAGTACTACTACTAGATCTGACAATTATCTTACGCTCACCGATTCAAGACTCTTCGAGATCGAGTCCTCAAGCGATATGAATGAAATTGCTTTTTGGATGGAATAAGACGCGAAAAGGGACTGGTCGAAGATAAAACGAGCATAGCTATTCGTATTCCTATCAACAAACAACTTACTTAAGTAGATACAATAATGTTCGGCCTCAATTTTTCTTTTGGTCTCGACAGCCGCAATGCCCTTGCGTTGCAGCTAAAAGACCTGCTGAACAAGCCGTCGAGGCCAACCAATGCACGATTGGGAAACCTGAACAGCAAGGCTGCTTTAGAAGCATGCGAATCCAATGAAGCTAGGTCTACCCAACGTATGTTTGTTGCTGACTTGCGGCAAAGCGCGTTCGAAAAATTACGTGCTGCATCTCAAAGTGTAAGTGAGGAGATGAAGGAAGTCCCATCTGACCGCTTCGTCGACATTGTGCATGAACACTTAGGCGTGTTACCACTGAACGGGGTTCTTCTGTATGGCACCCCCCTCGATCCTGATGCAATTGAAACACTCAATTATGAGTTTCGGATATTGATCGAGAACGCGAGCACCGAAGATCCCACCCCACGCATTGTGTCGCTTCTTCCGAATCAAAATTGGTTTCTTGTACCCCGTGATGACACGCTTGAAGCACTTCGAAAAAATCTGCATTTCAAGAGAAAGGTTTCGTTTGCGACGCAAAAAGTATTAGGATACGCGCGGGAGATTACGACTATATCTCCATTGAGAGGGATGCAAGATCAGCCATATGAGATTACATCCGCGGCTGTCGAAGAGTTGGGTCAATGCTGTGAGGGGAGCTGTGACGCGGGTGCAAACCGTGCCGACGAGTCCACCGGGACTGAATGTTGCGCCGAATGCAGAGCAGACTGGGTCCGGTATATTCGAGTTTAAAAAAGTCTTTCTTGTTTCGAATCAGCATAGCTTCACTTTAATTTAAAGAAACATATATAACTTGTAGGGTTGAGGTTTAGGTCCAGCGGCGCTCAAAGCACTAAATAAAACAACCGGTTCGTTTTTACCTCTAGCGTTTAGCCCTTCCAAACAAGAAACATATATAACTTGTTCTTGTCGGTATTCGTCCTCTAGCTCTACCTTGTGATGTTGTTGGAGTTGCAGATGCAGAACTGCTCCGGCAGTCAGCATTTTTTAGATCGTTATCGTTTCCATTGGAGGGTCAGACTCGAATTGACATTGAGGTAATAGACTGGATCCGAATTCGTAGAGGTAGATGGGTGTAATGGTTAGCAGAAATTCACCTCAAAATCAAACGGTTTCAGGGCGTGCATGGCGGGTGCCATCGAACCTGGTCCCCAATGGAAGACTCAGGAGCAAACGAAATGGAAAAAATTTCTGACAGCTCTCAACGATCTCGGGATCTACCGTGCTGACGAAAACATTGTGTTGCCCCGCGACCTCTTTTTTGTCTTGCAGGACCTTACTCATTTTCTACTGTGTCAGTGCATGTGCAACCAGGGTATCGACGTAGCCCAGGGGCAGCTGAGTAGTTGTAACCCAGCTCGCGGCGCTGCGGAAACGCGGAGCCCTGAAAACTCTTGGGAAGGGGATTGCTGTCCCGGTGGCGCAGCAAGTTCGCTCTGCGCTCGTGAGCCAAGCGACGTTGCCGCTTTGCCCGTTGTGCGCAGCGAGTTTCGCCTCGAAGGCTCGTCAATGTCTCTTTTGGAGTTCTGCCTACTTCTTGGCGACCAAGGCTACTCACGTCACGATGATTTGAAAGATGTTTTGCTAGCCACGTTTTGGGATTGGGCCATCTACTCAGATGAAAAAAAGCGACGCACAATCCTCATGGATGTACCGTTTTATAATCATTCAATGAACGGCATTGATAGTCTTGTGCCCTTCTTTATTTTACTCGAGCAACACCTGGGCATCAAATTCGGTGAATTAAGCGAGCCGGTCGAACAGGTGAGCAAGGTGCGCCTGGAGGCGATGAGCCCTGTTCTGGAAATGCGCGACATACATGGATTCTCTGCATTCCATTATGCGATCATGGCAAAAAGCGTGTTATTACTTTCCATGCTTAGTGGTCGGGACACTGAAGGATATTTTCCTCGTAAAGATATCGCAGGCGAACTGGTTGCTGCGTCTTGTGGAAATACACCAGCTAAGGCCCAAGGCGCGGAATCTCGGGAGGGATGTGCGTCCTGCAAAAGCGGATGGACAAGTGCTGTCTTTGCCGAGCAAACTACCTTCTTTTTGGCTGCTTGCTATGCGGGAAATTGGCTAGCTGTAAATGTGATACTGACACACTCTGCCTTCGCTAGGCTAGACGAAAATGAGCTTGTCGATCATGACCACACAGCCCCGGAGCTAGCCTATAATCATCAGAGCCCCGAGCACGATAAACACACCCCTCTGCCTAGCCGGCAGCATTGCATTTGGCAGAAGGATCGTCGGGGGCGCACTCCACTAATGCTTGCGTGTTGCACACCCGGAATCTGGTTTGGTGTCTATGATGGATGCTGTCATTTCGACCATACCCGCAGTGGAGTTGCTAACCAGTTAACTCAGAAGTTCTCTGACAAAGAGCTACAAATCAATGATCGTGATCAGGACGGACAAACTGCCCTGCTCTACGCTGGCATAAATTCTTTGGACGACGCCTTTCGTATTATTTTGCGTGACTGCGAGACTGTGGACGTTAATGTGCAAGATCCACTTACAGGAAATACTGCCTTCCTCTGGCTTCTCCATCGAAATCTGCCTGAGGGGCGCCCGCGCTGGGACGCGGAATCGCATTCCGTGAAGGTGGATCCGTGGCCCACGTTTTTGGACGAAAAGTATGATCCAGTGTCCTCACGCAGTGAGAATTTCGGACGGGCGCTGCGACACCTAGTGATGCGCTTGCGAACACGGAATATGGACATGACAGTCAGGAATCATAAAGGAGAGGACTGGAGAGCAGTCGCGGAGAAGCATCTAGATGAGGGGAACCTCAAGCTTCTCACAGAACTGATGGAAATGCCCTTTGAGGATTTCTTTGGGAGTAGCGATGACGATGACGGGCACGACTATGGCACGTACTCGACCTCAAATGAAAACAGCGACGAGGAGGGGACTTCAGATGATGACGAGGAGAATGCCACCGGGTCAGAGGCCGAGGAGAGTGGTGAAAACGAAGACAGTCAGAGTGGTTCATCTGATGAAGACGAAGTTAGTACTAATGCACCCGAGTCCAACGATCAAAATGGTGAAACCTCGACGGACGAGTAGAAAGGGTATCAGGATGAACATGAAGATCATGAGATCGCCAGCTGTAAGGACACTGCATGTCATGCCATCTAGTGACTATCACAGCCTTTCACCACAAGCCATGTCCCATGAACTACTCATATCTATGTATAGCTTCATAACGGAGCTCCGTCCGTAGAGGTCTCCTGTATGATTTTGGCAGCCAAATCGAAGTCCTCAGCTCTTGCGCAGCGCAGTCACTATAAGTACAACGATTAAACACTTACTCTTCAATCTGTTCCGTACCCGTAACCACATGTACACCAATCCACAAAGCCTGGTGGAGGATTAACTTCTTCAAGTTTCAGGCCCACACTCGCGCTGTTTTCCTGGGAAACGCAGGCAACCTCCCGCAGAAGAGGGGGCGCTCTGGTTAGAAGCAAATACATATGTCGTGATCGACGTGATTGTCGCAACTCAACTGAGCAGAATGTTGAATGCTGGTCGTATCTATTGGAGGCATACTTGTATAATCAGAGCTACAATTTACGACCTTCGTTCAATCCGACTTGTCCGGGTGGTAGTAATTGTTAACTGAAAAGAGATGAAGCAAAAATTAAAATATTTGTTTCGCTTTCTCCAAGTGTTGGCAGGGCTGCTATCGGTCGTTACCTTTTATGGTTTTTGTAATCGGTCAGTCTAAAGACGAGAGCTGCTGTGGTCTAGTTGAGAGCAGCGTACTGCGAGAGGAACGAAGGTGAATGAGATTTAGAGGAGTGGCAGCACCACAGGAGGGACTGTTTGAGCTATACCTGGATTTGTTGGAACTATCGCGAATTTCTCGTGTGGATTCACGAAGTGTGCGAATGATAAGAGAGAGAGAAACCATGCCACGCTTTCTTAATAGGAGCCCAGAATATGATCACCGGAAATTGATTGGATCGACGATCACTGCAAACGGTCAGAAAACGCTACACCTGAGATCGTAGGATACTAGCACTAGCATGTCCAAGTACTCCCTATTCGATCACACAATATGATCGAAAATGTGCACATAGAGGTCCCGAAGCGCACACCATCCCGAGCCGGTGACTTTTCTCTAGATAGTTTTTGCACAGGAAAGTTTTGTTTTCGTTTCTCCTTTTTCGTTCTTTTTTGGAAGTTGTGTTGATAGAAGTAGAAGTTCTTCTTTATTTGCTAGTTACTTTATTGAATTCAAAAATTCTTCGTGAATCGTAGCGTAATAGCTGCATTCTTCCCATCAATTTCAAAACAACATCGGTCCGTCAGCAAGGTCCTTTGTGCCCTTACATCGGTGTCCTTAGTGACGGATGGTAAGATCGCTCGAGGGCGTAACACGTGCGAGACGATCGGGTCGCGCGCGCGATAATAATAATAATAATAATAATAGTATCAATATGATGATTAGAAGATTTAGTCGATGGGTCCGGCGTTGCCTATCGCTTTAAGTACAAGTACTGATACTTATATAGATACAAGTTGGTAGTTCTAGTAGGGACATAGGTAATGAAAGATGGCTTCCTCTTCTGGACCAGATGAGATTTCTCTGGAGTGTATTTTTTCTGTAGATCCTCGAGGGCTTCCAGGCGGGGTTTCGATTTCGAAGACGGACTTCGGACTATGCCGCGCCGCAAATAGCGACTCGGATGCAGAAATATGCAGAGATCATGTGAAAGAGGGCAAAAATTTTCCGCCTATTCAGGGGTCAGGGTCACCTGCAGGCATATCACGAAAGTTCGAAACGTTTAAGCTGGAAGTGGCATTTCGCTGTGCTGCTAAAGAGCAGCAATATCCCCGTTCAAGCGGCAGAGAGCTTGCACGCAAGATTCACTTGCGGCTTCGTGAGCTCTTCCCATATAATGCCGCACTGCCTGTCTCATGCATGCGGATATCCTTGAAAAATGATGGGAATGGGCAGGACTCGTTTTGGGCGGTTGATGACGAAGATACGACTAGTGCTCTCAGTGCGGTACACGATAGACATTCTGTTTCCTCTGATAGGATTTCCAAGGCCGGTGACGCTGGATTGCTGTGGTACGGATCCGCATCGACTGACGGGGTTTCCCGAATACTGATGTTCGAATCGAATACGCAGACACAGGAACATGCCACTTTGTCTCTTGTGGTTGATTTTTGCGAGAATGCCACTGTGCAAGGTGTGTGCGATTCCCCGCCGGATGCCATACCCTTGCTGGCGTTTTTCTCTCCGTTTGGAAGGGGGGGCTGGAGTGATGAGTCCTATTACACTAGAGATGCGATGGAGGAGTGGTTGCAACAGCCATGTGGCGGCTTTTTCTTTCACATTGACAAACTTGTGAATGCTTTGGTCAGAACGTCGCTCTCAGACTCAGAGTCACAGATGCGCTGCAGACCTTCGCTTGAGCTCACGCGGATGCGTCTGGATGAGCTCGCATTTTTTTGCGATGTTATTCAAGCTGGCACACCGCGCGAAGACCCTAATGGATCCGAGATGCTTGACCATGATGGTGATGCGGAAATCCTTCCGTGCTCAGCTTCTGGGACACCGATGAGAGAGAATTATCGTCTGGCGGAGTTCGTTTTGAGTGGGTGCGCACGTCTCTGGTCTTTTCCGAGCCTGCAGATACGTAGAACGGATATCAATATCGAACCGGATCCGTGGCTCGTTGATCAGCTTGTGCCAGCTCCTGAGCTGGGACTTGGGCATCCTGTGTATTTTTAGATATTCTAATTCATTCTATAGACGTCACCATAACGCAGATTCGGGTATTGACTGCAATAAAGGAAACAAAGCTTTTACAACAACACACTGACTGAATAGAATTGTCCGTAGTCCTCGTTTTGCACTCACTCCTGTTTGTAGATATGCGTATAGGCCACGTTGAAGGACATCTTTTGATGCAGTTCATTATTTTTTCCTCGGCGGACGAGTTTTCCATATTTAAAATGCGTTCTGTTTTTCTGTACTCAGGTATTCATGGCAACTTGTCACGCGGATGCTCGTTGCTCCCTTTGTTGTCACCGACAACATCAGCTTCATGTTTCAAGTTGCAAAACACCACCCACGAATGGTCTACGTAGCATCCGACAGGGTACTTAACACAAGGCACTTTGCTTACCATGCTGCCTCATGTGGGCCTGTCCTGCGTTTTTTTCCGCATTTTGCTCGAGCTGATCCATTTTTCGTGAGGCTTTGTCTGCAGCATACTTCTGTGGAAGAACAGTATGACTTTCCGCTAGCGGGCAGTCTCGCAAAGGGAGTTTTGCCTGTATTTCTGTCTGTTCGATGTGAAGAAGCCGATCGAAACCCTATCAGCCGTAGCGAGTTAGAAAAAAGCTTCAGCGTCGATACTCTTGAGGAGCTGGACGCAATTCCAGTGCCACTCGCTCTTCCGGTCCAAAAAGAGGATGCGAGTTTTGTCGAGAAGCTCCAAAAGGGACTCATCGATCCGGTCTCGGCCTGTGATCGAATTGAGATTCCACCGAGTCTCTTGGGTTCTTGTTCAACATTCCCTTTGGAACATCTCGAAGTTGAGCTTGATTGGGAAGGTGGCGAGCGACTAACGGTTGAGGTGCTGCAGGAGAACCTCTGCGACGGAGTTGTATTTTCGCCCGAGACAAAGGAATTAGTTTCGGAGGACTGCACAGGACGGGCCAGACCAGGGGCTGTGCGCAGGCGGATAAACATTCCTGTCTGTTTTAAGGATCCGAGTTCATCGCAGACTTCGAATATTTTTGATATCGAATGGCGTCGTGTGACCACTTTTGACGACTTGCGACGCTGTGCGTATCAGGCGATTATTGACGGTGTTGGTGGAGATTGGCCCGAGAGTGCCTTTCCACCTCCCATGTCCTTGATCAAGTTTTATCGTCGGATCAAAAGGGCAGCGGAGACGGTGCTGCAGACGAAGTGCTCAGCAGAAGATTTTGAAATAAGAGGCACCGCCAAAGTGTCGAACGAAAACGAAGTGACAAGCGAGGGCACATTTGAATGGAAGGAGTGCTTCGGGAGTGAACTTGTCTCGGTAAGTGGGGATTCATTTCATGACCTAAAGACAGGGAGAGATCAATCGCAGACTTATCTTAGCGCAGGCAGTGGTAGGGCTGCCGTAAATTATGACGATGCAGAGGGGCGCCCAGCCTCAGCCTATGCCATACTTCTCGTGGTCGATCACAGCCGGTTTTCGCAGCGAACGTCTAGGGACCGGTTGGCGTCATTGTCGCAGATCATTGCTTGTTGCACTGTGGCGCATCGTGTCGCGCACCGGACTCTGTCAGGCGAGGAAGCCACCCAGCGATGCTCGAAAACCGACGCTCTTCCGGGTTGTGCATTGGACGAAAGAGAAGCGCGCGTCTCCGCGTTACGCCAGGCTGAGTGGTTGTTTTACCAGTATGCCATCGAGGAGGCGCGCGGTGATCCAGAGCCGGAAGATCTGGTTCCTGAGAAAACGGATGGGCGTGATGCGCGCGCTCCACGTCAGTGCTCAGATGCTTATTTGTTCGACCAGCGTATCCCCAAGTCAAGCCGATATGCGTTGGAGCAGCAGACCGAGGCCGCAGTGATCGGCTCGCAGCTGTTTGGTGACTCGGATTCAGTTCTAGCAGAGCAGGCATCCAATCTGCTCCGGTGGATCCTTTCTCTTTTCCTGCTATTCGATTCGGACAGAGCGGACGCCGAACAAGTGCATAGCTTTCAGGCCACGAGCAGCGAGACTGGCGAGCCAGGCGTAGACGCGATAACTTCCGGGAAAAGTATGGCTCAAAAAAAGACTTCGTTACGTCGGTCTCCAAAGTTTGTGGACCTTTTGCGATTTTGCCCTCTCGAGTTCAGGAGAGACCGCCAAGAACTTATCACCGACGCGATTTTTATGGGCCGCAGTGATATTGCCAGCTGTGCACCGCGAGAAGTTCGAGGTAGCGAGAAGTTTGCACTTCTTGCTTCTGTTTACGGACCGGCGCTGGGATTTCTTCCTGCTTTTCGGGATTTTGCTCCAACTGTTTCCTTTGCTCTTGCACATGACTTCAGGCAGCTTCGCTGGGTTCCGCGGAGGTTCGGAAATTTGAAAGAGGGGACGGCGGAAGAGCTCGGCGAATACAACCATCGCGGAATGCGTCTCATGCAAGGGGCTGCGCCTGACTGTTTCGTACTGGATCTTGTGTCTGGTAGGTGCCCTCAGATGTTACAGTACTGCGCTGCAGGCTTTCGCGAAATGGATGAGATCTGTGCTAGAGCGTACTTGATGTGTCCGCAGTTTGTACCGGAGGGATTCCGTCGCGACCGCGACTTCGTTCTGTGGCAGCTTGACACGTACATCGCTGACCCACACGGGAGCCTCATGAACATCAAGGGTTACACGTTCTCACGCGAAACCGAGGCGCAGATTATCGAGTCTTTTGTAGGCGACGAAGAAGTCCTTGATACTGCTCGGGAGGCAGCACAGCGCCGCGACGAAGTGGAAGCAGCCGGAGGCCCATCGCGTATGTTATATCCACCCGACCGCCAGCGTACTGGTATACTTCGATACTTTTGCTACCCGCCAGACGAATAAGAGCCCGACGTCTAATATCCTGAGAAGGGTTGAAAGAACGTTAGGCGAAAGCGGTAATTAATATCTCACCGGCGGACGAGGAGCTAAAGCTGTGCCACACAGTAGAGAATTCCCGTTGCTGCTATCTTATCGCAAAATCAATCCGGTACGGCCATAACGATACATGATTGAATAACAATGAAGACCAGGAAATTCATCGTTTTCTTATAAATATAATGGAATCAATTGCCTTTACGATTCCGTTTATGCGAAGGTTACTGTTGGTCTTTTGTACAGAGCCGACTATGATCGCAGACAAAATTATCTTCAAAACCTCTCCATCCACTTGTGTCCTTCGCTATTGATTTTCCCCTGTGATGTGCCAAGTCAGGCGCGAGTGATTGCGCCCAGCATTCTTATTTCTCTTTTCTCATCATCCAGTAGCAGTATTAGGCGCAAATACATGGCATAACTTCGATGTTGTATATCTATAATGAAAATGATGTTGATTCTGATGTGATGCTTTTCATCTTCGCGACTGAAATGATATTGACCCTCCGTTACACCTCTTAATAGGTAAGGCTTTTCCGTGCTCCTTGATTATGAAACTAAAGTGTCCTCGTTCTCTTACTCTTGGCTTCTCAGCAGTGAGGCACCAGCAAAAGGATCATCCATCGTTGCCACGGAAGTTCGTGTCTGTAGTATGAGTCGGTATTTAATCTCTGCTCCACTGTACTTGTATACCTTCTGCTGCTGCACATATCGGGCAGTCTGAAGATGAGAGTTGTTTCCTGCTTGATGAGGGTGGCTTGACACTGCGAGAAAAAGAGTATTTTCGACGAGAAAAAGCACCTGCACCACTTAAGATATTTGAATCTGTGTATCTCTTATGACTACAAGTGTGTCGTAAAACAGATGCAAAACTATAGCAAAGAGAAAGATGTACATGTACATGCACATTCCTAAAGACTGAGAGAATAGCAGTTGGATCAAATAAAAGAGATAAGAATTCCTGAAATAGCCTGGAGTGGATGAAGAACGATCAAAAAAATATAGTGGAAAGGCAGACGAGATCATTGGGATCTTCGATTTAGTTTTCACCTCAGCATCAAGTAGATGCATAGAAGATGTTCCGAGCCGGTGCGGTCTTTTCCCATAGATTTTGCACAGGAAATCTAGAAAGGAGTCCATTTTGATATAAATTTTAGCTTTCATATATTATCTCCTCATACTGTTATATACTAGCCTCCACAAGCTTCGCCCGGCTTCAAGTTAGTTCCGCACTTTTCTGCGGCCTCCCACGGGCTACAGCCGCTAGAGTAGAGACGGCCCGCGGGTGAGCTGTTGCACGCTACGAATTGACTACGACAAGAGCCGAGCGCCGGCGGTGGCCGACTTAGATGCGTTGACTCATGTGCAGGGCATTGCGCTACCTTCGGTTTTTTTATGGGATTGCCGGGCGGGTCATGCTAATTCTTACGAATTCGCAAGACCCACCCCCACGGCAGTCCAACAAAAAAACCAGAAGAGGGCCACCAGAGACGCACAAGAATCCGCAAGCCCCAACGCACGCAAGCGCCTCGCGGTGGCGCCAGGCAAGAACGAGGGGCGACCTTAACGGGCCAAACAAGACACAGCAACGCAGGGCCGCGCTGCTTGGGTCTCTCTACGCGCTTACACCTGGCCTGGCGGGGCTTCTTTGTTTCGTCAGATGTCTTTCGTCAGGAACAGACGGGCGCACTTCGCGGGGGCGTGCGGCGTCGCGCTTCGGGCTGTGGCTGAAGCCTCTCGGCTGGCTGACGTCTTTCGCCAGGATGGAAACTGAGGCCCTCCATCAGACTGATGCCGTTCGTCAGGCCAAGGCCTTGCGCCAGGCTGGCGGCTTTCGTCGGACAGGCCGGCGCCCTTCAGCAGACGTCTCGGGCCAGGCTGGGGCTTTTCGTCAGGGTCGGCGACGTCTCTCGTCAGGCTGACGCCTTTCGCCAGACTGAAGCGCTTCGCCTGGCCGACATTCCTCGCCGAGCCAAGATAGACTCACGCCTTTGGTCAGGTTGATGGCTTGCTTCAGGTTCAGCTTGGCGCTGTTAGTCAGGTTGATGCACTGACCAGCCAGGTGACGCCTCTCGCCAGGCCGACGCGCTGGCTGCTCTGCCAGGCGTTTGCCTTGCGTCGGAACAGGCTGAGCGGGGCCTTTCTTCGGGCTGCGGATGTCTTTCCTTCGTGGGATTGATCCTCTTCTGTCCCTTCGTCGGACTGACGTTCTTCGCCAGACTGACCGCGTTCGTCGGACTGGCGTCCTTTGTCGGGTGTCTTCGCTATCGTCAAGGGCCTCTCGCCAAAGATCGGGCGGCAGTTTTCTGGCCGAGGTCGTTTGCCAGATGTCTGCCGTCGCGGGTCTCTTGTCTTGTCGGAGGTCTTTGGTCCAGCGGTCTGGGGTCCAGCGGTCTTTGGTCTGAACGTCGTCTGAGGTCCAAAGGTCGCCTTTGGTCCAAAAGTCGTCTGTAGTCCAAAGGTCGGTGGTCCAGAGGTCGCCTTTGGTCCAAAGGTCGTCTTACTTTGGTCCAAAGGTCGCCTTACTTTGGTCCGAGTGTCGCCTTACTTCTTTGGTCCAAAGGTCGCCTCTCTTTGGTCCAGAGGTCGTCGCACTTTGGTCCAGAGGTCTCTTACTTTGGTCCAGCGGTCGTCTTACTTTGGTCCAGCGGTCGTCTTTGGTCCAGCGGTCGTCTTTGGTCCAGAGGTCGCCTGTGGTCCAGAGGTCGTCTGTGGTCCCGAGGTCGTCGGTGGTCCAAAGGTCTCCTCTGGTCCAAAGGTCGCCGGTGGTCCAGCGGTCGTCTTTGGTCCAGGGGTCGTCTTTGGTCCAAGGGTCGTCTTTGTTTGGTCCAGAGATCGTCTTTGGTCTGGCGATCGTCTTGGGCCCCTTACTTTGTTCCAGGGGTCGCCTCAGTTTGGTCCAGAGGTCGCCCTCTTACTTTGGTCCAGAGGTCGCCCTACTTTGGTCCGCAGGTGGGTCGTCTTACTTTGGTCCAGAGGTCACCTGTGGCCCAGCGGTCGTCTTTGGTCCAACGGTCGCCTTTGGTCCAAAGGTCGTCCGTAGACCCAAGGTCGCCTTTGTTTGGTCCAAAGATCGCCTGTGGGCCAGAGGTCGCCTTTCGTCCAAGGATCGTCTTTGGTGTAGGTCGTCTTTGGTCCAAGGGTCGCCTGTGGGCCAAAGGTCGCCTGTGGACCAAAGGTCGCCTTTGGTCCAAAAATCGTCTGTGGGCCAAAGGTCGCCTTTGGCCCAAAGATCGTCTTTAGTGTTGGTCCAAAGTCCGTAGGTCTTTGGTCCATGTGTCTTTTGTCCAAGGTCTATGCTCTTTCGGTGGGATGTCTTTCTTCGGCTGTTTCTCTTTCTTTGGACTTCTCTCCCCAGCTTGGGCCCCTACCCCCGTGGTCGGGCATTTTTCTGGCTTCTTTTCTGGTAGTCTGCCACGGGGCCGCGACGTAACTTCCAACAAGAAAACGGTCGGAGGCTATCGGGCTTGAGAGTGAGGGGAAAGGGCAGGAGGCTACGGGCAATAGCTTCGCGTAAGGAGGTGACTAATCTCCGGCGGGTTTTGGCGGGGAGTTTTATGGCGGGGAGTTTTATGGCGGGGAGTTTTTTGGCGGGGAGTTTTATGGCGGTGAGTTAATAACTGTCGGACCACAAGAACACAGACTGCTAATTCGCGCGTAGTTTCTCGGTGAGACGCGCCGAGCTTGATGCAAATAATTTGAGAAAACAGCTTGAGCGCGCTGATCTCTGGCTGGTCGTTTGATCCCTCTGGGAATTCATGGACAAGATTCGCGCGGACGCTGATCCAAAGATCAGATATGAGTTTTACGAAAGAGTAAGCAAGAGGAATGCGATCCCCGTTTCTGTGCGAGAGAAGCATGCAGTTTGTTTTGTGCGACCACTAAACAAAGATCAATGGATCCATAGACGCCTCATGTATGCCCCTTTTTTCAAAATAAGTAAATAGATCTTGTTACTTTGATTTCTGAACTCCCTCAGTTCCTCGCCCTGCTCTCCTGGTAATCCAATGACGACATCATGTTTGGTATACTTATTGATTGCTTGACAGATTGTTTTATCAAAATCGAACGAATAAAAACAGTGATGTCCTCCCTGACGATTTTTGGCCAGTAGGTACCTTAAAAGTGTAGTTTTTATTTTTGACATCTTACTAGCTTGGAGCGTCCGGCAACATCCCTTCCACTAGGATCCCCCCCCTCCCCAAAATAAGAAACTAAGCAAGGCAAAGATGTAAGCGATACGCGTTCTCAAATTTCGAAAATTTTCCACGTTTTGCCATCGTTTGAGGATTGAGTCCCGTGCGTTTGAAGTCAAGGGCTAAGATGCCAAAGCTCTTCGACTTTCAGCCCTTTCGCTGAAATTCAGTTTTTTGGGTCTGCATTTTTCAAATTTCGAAAATTCTCCACGTTTTGCTGTCGTTTTGGGATTGAATTTCGTGTGTTTGAAGCGCTAAAGCCCCTAAGTTTTTGACTTTCAGCCCTTTCCCTGAGATTCAGTCTCATGGATTTGCATTTTTCAAATTTCGAACATTTTCCACATTTTGTCGTCGTTTTGGGGTTGAATTCTGTGCGTTTGAAGTGCTAAAGTCCCAAAATTTTTGATTGTGAGCCCTTATTTCCCTGAGATTCAATCCCTTGGCTTCGCGTTTTTCTAATTTCGATAATTTTCCACGTTTTTCGTCGTTTTGGGAGTGAATCCCGTGAGTTTGAAAGGCTAAGATCCCAAAATTTTTGATTTTAGGCCCTTTCTCTGAACTTTAACGCCTTGGCTTCCCGTTTTTCAAATTTCGAAAATTCCACACGTTGGCGCCATTTTGGGACTGAATTTTGTGCCTTTGAAGCCCTAAAGTCCCAAAGTTTTTGACTTTAGGCCATTTCTCTGGAATTTAATTCCTTGGGTTCGCGTTTTTTCAAATTTCGAAAATTTTCCACATTTTTCGCCATTTTAAGAGTGAATTCCGTGCGTTTGGGGTGCTAAGATCCCAAAATTTTTGATTTTGGGCCCTTTGTCTGGAATTTAATTCCTTGGATTCGCGTTTTTTCAAATTTCGAAAATTTTCCACATTTTTCGCCATTTTGAGAGTGAATCCCGTGAGTCTGTACGCTTCGAGGAGAAGTTCGTAAATTCATAAATTTTTGCCCTTTTTCGTCGTTTTGGGAGTGAATTCCGCGTGTATGACGGAACAATATCCCAAAGCTTTTGATTTTAAGAGCTTTCCTAGAAATTAACTCATAAGTTCGTAAATTCCTAAATTCCTAAATATAGAAATTCAGAAATTCGTAAATTCAGAAATTTTTGCCCTTTTTCGTCGTTTTGGGAGTGAATTCCGCGTGTATGACGGAACAATATCCCAAAACTTTTGACTTTAAGGGCTTTCCTTGGAATTAATTCAT